GATATAAAGAGAGGTTATTTCTTAAATGAAGTGAAAGGACTCTTGAAAATGAAATAGCCCTTTCATTTCATTTTAGAAATTATAAGAGAGACATGAGAGTGATTATAGACGTTATTTATATGGATAATAAAGATATAAGCTGTCCGGGTCTTTGAATATAATGCTTCAAAACAAATCGAACAAGCTGTTTATTTCTTTATCCATGGTCTGTTTCTACAGTTTATCTATTTTCCTTGCCAACCTTCGAAAACGAATTTATTATGCATTTCACAGAGGAAAATTTGCATATTGATGAAACATAATGGGCGCAGGCCAAGATTTATACCCACTCAAGTGTGAATTTGGCGCATCTTTCCTCATCTTCTTCAACCAGGAAATGGACTTCATTGTAGCCTTAGGACAGGATGGTGACATAAAAGTGATAAAAGAACATCATAATCAGAATATCTGACCCCGGAAACCCCATGAATTTATCAGCTTTTATCAAACTGGTCGTTTTCCTTTTGGAACTACGCTTGACCTTTAACTCGGATGGCGGCCATTTTTTATTTGGCCAATATGACCAGCATGACAGCCCCACTGGAGACCTGTCATTGATACAAGCAACGTCATAATCAGATTCTCTGACCCCGAAAACCCCCTTACTATATAAACTTTTATTATACTAGCCCTTTTCCTTTTGGAACTACACTTGACCTTTTACTCAAAGGTGGCAGCCATTTTAGATTTGACCAATATGACCAGCATGACAGCCCCACGTAGACCTCAAATTGGTAAAAGAACATGATATCCAGATTCTCTGACCCCGAAAACTCCATAAATACATAAACTGTTATCATACTAGCCCGTTTCCTTTCGTTACTAGTGAGTTGTAATTCAGATGGCGGCTATTTTGGATTTGGCCAATATTACCAGGCAGCCCCAAGGAGACCTCAAATCGATGAAATAACATCATAATCAGATTCTCTGACCCCCCCCCCCCCCCCCCCCAAAAAAAAAAAAAAAAAAAAAAAAACCTTAAATATATAAACTATAATCATACAATCGCTTTTCCTTTTGGAACTACGCTTGACCTTTAACTCAGATGGTGGCCATTTTGGATTTGCCCAATATGGCATATCCAGAGGGCGCCCTTCTTGGCGTCCGGCAGAAATCGTAAAAGGGATGGTATAATCTACCTCTGGGCCAAATTTGATGCTTTTAAAATTATCTGCACCAAACAACCCCTATTTAGCCCTAACAGCCCCCACTACTTCGTATGTGTTTTTTATTAGCAAGTTGACGTAACCGAAAGTTCAAGACAACCGGCTTCCCGACCAGCTTTCAATTGGGATTCGGGATTTAGACAAATACTCCTTAATGCGTATATCAGGATTTTGAAAAAATATCCTTCTTCTTGAAAATGGTCGTTTTTTAACCCATTAAAGTGACTTGGTTATTTTTGAAGGTTGATGAAAATGTTAAAATAATCTTTCAACACTTAAATGTCTGGAATGGTATAAAAAGCCAATACATTGCTTGTGACGATTTACATTCACTAAAATGAAATTAAATTGTAATAATATATAGTTGGGAGAATTAAGGAATCGATCAGATCAGTTTTTCCCCATTGTTATCATTAATAATAGTCTGTTTTCACTCAAAATGTCAGATTATCTTTAATTGCACATCTAGCATTGAATTCACTACATTAGCACCACTCATCTGAACAGAGTTTAATTAATACCAAGTCCCTTTAACGCGGCATCTCGCGGAACGCGTCCAATCTATTAACAAATCACCCCTTTATGCGTTTTCTTGGTCACGCATGTCTTAAATTTGACTGCATGAGACCCATGGGGGGGGGGGGGGGGGTCGATAAGGTCATGTACTTGTATAATTTTGTTTTTTGTATGATTTTCCTTTCCACATGTTCTATTTTTGCTTGTTATGGTCATCCTATCAAGACGTGTGAATATTTCGTTTCAAGAAACTAGTCTATTTATTTGCCAATAACTTTGTGATATCAGATTTAGAGTAGCCATTTTCAAATAAAAATACAATTTTGAAAGTTCAATACACACTTTTAAATTGATGAATTAGAGCAATTTCAACTAGTCGTTTACCAAAATGTCTCTATTTCTTTTGGATAGGAAAAGAAAAAGGAAACGAAACCGGATACTGTTAAGCCAGACCTATAATTAGTGTGAAAATACGAGTCTGTAATAATCTAGTTTCATTTTTGTAATACCTGTAAATATTTCTACTATTATCATTTTTGTTAAGGGCATGCTCTAACACCTGTCTATAATGAGAGTTTCAGTTTCTGTTTGCCAATTTATACTATACAGTTTATTCCACGCATAATGCGCTTATAATCTTGAAACTATCCCAACCTCTGTGGTTTAATTCTCACATTTTAGTTGATGGAAAACCAATATATGTAAACAAATATTAAAAAAATATTTAAAAAATGGTTTGATTCATCCTTAATTAACATTTCTGATATTTTGTACACGTGACGGACATTTTAAAATTTTAAAGTTATTATTCAGAAATACGGTTATGTACTTATTATGGTATATAATTCACTTATATCTACTATCCCAAATGAATGGAAGAGGGGAATAAGGAGCCAATCTATAGAAGAAAATGATTTAAATGAACCACATGATGATCGATTACACAATTTCCTTAAACACAAAAAGTTTCTAAACTATGTTACTCTATACGTAGCTATACTATTGCTTTGTCAGACACAGATCAACAACTTAAATGGGTAAATGGTCTGTCACTACAATTATCAGATGACGAAATATGGAGGTCTCGTTTTAATTTAATATATAAATCATCAATAGATAACAAATTGAGAAATTTTCAATTCAAATTTATTCATAGGAAAATTGCCACGAATTCCTTTTTGTATAAAACCGGAATTTTTGATCAAAATATATGTAACTTTTGTAATCAAAATGAACAAACAATAATTCATTTATTTTTTGAATGCCTTTTTGTCTCAAGATTCTGGAATGATCTGTACAGTTGGCTGATTTCTAAAAAGATCCGACTCATTAGATTATCACGTATAGAAATTTGCTTTGGAACATTAGTAAGAGAACACTTTTATCTGGTAAACTCTATGGTATTATATGGCAAATATTTTATCTTTTCATGTAAATGTCAAGACATCGTTCCTTTATTTAAATCCTTCCTATTTTCTGTAATACAATTAGAAAAAACAGAACGCATAATATCCTTTAAACCGTTTTGAATTCCATAAGAAAAAATGGAATAGTATCTGTATAGTATAATTGAAATCTTACTGAATGTTATTTTATGAGATGTTCCATTTCATTCAATCATATCTCTGTATCATTGAAGACCAAAATATGTATTTATTTTGAGATTGTCTTTTGTGACAATGTGAATTGCACATAAAACTTATTTTAAAAAAATGATGTCATGTGCTTGTATAATTTTGTTTTTTGTATGATTTTCCTTTCCACATGTTCTACTTTTGCTTGTTATGGTCATCCTATCAAGACGTGTGAATATTTCGTTTCAAGAAACTAGTCTATTTATTTGCCAATAACTTTGTGATATCAGATTCAGAGTAACCATTTTCAAATAAAAATACAATTTTGCCAGTTCAATACACACTTTCGTATATATAAACAATTTGTTCCCTGAATGTGAGGGGATTGGGAAACGATTTCAAAAGAAGATGTGTTTTTAATTGGATCAGAAATCTCGACTTCCATCTAATACTTTTACAAGAGACCAACTCGACAATAAGGTCAGAACGGAGAGGAAAACATGAATGGGGATACAAAATTATTTTTAATCATGGAACATCAGAAAGTGCTGGAGTATCATTCTGTTCAAACCATCTGCTTCTTTTGATATTGTAAATACTTTTAAGGAGGACAAGGGGCGAATGTTAGTAGTAATTTTAAAAATAAACAATATGATTTTAACAGTTGCAAATATATATGGTCCAAACAATGACGATAGACTTTTCTTCGATGATTTTCACTCTCTGTTATTCGAACATGGTGAGGAACCCTATGTGATAGCAGGAGATTTCAATACAGTTGTGGAGCCAACAAATGATAAATTTCCTAAAACATTTCAAAACCATCCAAGATGCAGTAAAGCCATTATGGAAATAATAGATGATTTTGACCTGCTTGATATATGGCGTCATACCCACCTATCATAAAAGAAATATACATGGATGTCAAAAGACATGAAAATCAGAAGCAGGATTGATTTTGTTCTTATTTCTCAAAGTCTATCATCCTCTGTTGTTACGAGTGACATTACCTGTGGTTATATGTTTTTGTTTTTGTAATGACGGACAAGGCCCTGGTAAGCTTTGGGGTTTCAGGAGTATGAATAAAATGTATGAACTGGTCTCTTGGATTAAAATTAGTGTCATAAAGACACAGATAGAGATTATATTGATGATGACCTTCATTCTGATTTTTTTCAGAATATTAACGAATCGCGTTTCCATGGAATCAAACAATCCAGGTCAGTCTCCCAAAATAATGTCTAATCTTACATGCACATGTGCTTTGACGACATGGTCCCTTGCGCGAGGTTCAACCAACATATAATGTGAAAGGTATACTCCATCCAAAATAGGTGATATGACAGGTTTGACACCTCAAGTAAATGTTTTGTATATAGTTCGTCCCAAAGGATTCTTAAAAATTAAACATCCATAATCATAATCACATGAAAGAAAAAAATAGTCAATTTTTCTACAATATTCTATACTGAGAAACGAAAGATAGTATTATCAGAAACATGTCTTTATCCTCCACGTTACTCATCCAGTGAATGTTTTCTTGTTGCCAGCTCAACACTAACCTCATGATTGTACCAGGTCAGTGAAATAACGATGACTATTGATTTTGTTTCAGCATCGACTACGTGGTTTCAGTTGAATAGATGTATATTCTTAGGGCATTACGTAATGTCTGAATCAGCGTGCCTATAATAATTGCTACGTCATCGTGGACTGATCCCCAGGTATAAAGCAAGGCAAATAGTCGCTGTACAATCATTAGGACTCTCACTGGCTGTATCCATTGTAGTGAACTTGTTGTCCTGCCACATACACATACATACATTCGTCCAGTCAATAATTCTCTCGAACACTCTCTGATCATGTCGCTTGTTGAGCTGTTTGGAGAAACATTACATGGAGCGGGTGGGGCCGAAGTAGCGACATCAACTCTCGCTGGATCTGGCAGATACGTAGGTCTCTATTTTTCGGCTCACTGGTGCCCCCCTTGCCGATCGTTCACTCCGAAGCTGGCCGAGTTTTACAAGGCTTTCGCGAAGAAAAATGAAAGCAAGCTGGAGATTGTCTTCGTGAGCTCAGATCGGGACCAAGGAGAATTTGATGGTTACTTCAAAGACATGACATGGTTAAGCCTGCCCTTCTCTGATCGAGATAGAAAGGTTAGTTCTGAAGTGCAAAACATGGCCATGCATGCATGAGCCCCACCAAATATTTCAGATGAGCTCTCATCATGTCCATGTAAAAGTGCATGCCCGTATTTGGATCGGGGGGGGGGGGGGTCTATTGTGTTGAGGGAGAAAGACATTCTTTGATGTGATGTTGAAGTGAGTATAATGGCATATATTTTGTATGCCTGTTTGGCATGTTTTGATATATAGCTGTTACATTTTCCTCAAATTTCAAACATCTGTTTGACACGCGCCACACGATGATTCGGATAAAAAGAGAGCTATTATAGAGAAAGAGAAAAAGAAAGAGAAAGAGAAAGAGAAAGAGAAAGAGAAAGAGAAAGAGAAAGAGAAAGAGAAAGAGGAAGAGAAAAAGAAAGAGAAAGAGGAAGAGAAAGAGAAAGAGAAAGAGAAAGAATGAGAGAAAGAGAAAGAGAAAGAGAAAGAGAAAGAGAAAGAGAAAGAGGAAGAGGAAGAGAAAGAGAAAGAGAAAGAGAAAGAGAAAGAGGAAGAGGAAGAGAAAGAGAAAGAGGAAGAGAAAGAGAAAGAGAAAGAGAAAGAGAAAGAGAAAGAGAAAGAGAAAGAGAAAAAGAAAGAGAAAGAGGAAGAGAAAAAAAGAAAGAGAAAGAGAAAGAGAAAGAGAAAGAGAAAGAGAAAGAGAGAGAGAAAGAGAGAAAGAGAAAGAGAAAGAGAAAGAGAAAGAGAAAGAGGAAGAGGAAGAGAAAGAGAAAGAGAAAGAGAAAGAGAAAAGAGAAAGAGAAAGAGAAAGAGAAAAGAGAAAGAGAAAGAGAAAGAGAAAGAGAAAGAGAAAAGAAAAAGAAGAAAAAGAGAAAGAGAAAGAGAAAGAGAAAAAGAAAGAGAAAGAGAAAGAGAAAGAGGAAGAGAAAGAGAAAGAGAAAGAGAAAGAGAAAGAGAAAGAGAAAAAGAAGAAAGAGAAAGAGAGCTATTATAGAGAAATAGAAAGAGAAGGAAGGAAGTAAAGGCTTGTGTGAGCATTATGGCATGTTTTCTAATGGCGAAGTATTCTTATGGTGGCCCTGAAGGGACATCGCGAATAGACTAAATCGTGAAAAATATGCGATAAAATTCACGATATCGTCAATTTTATCGCATATTTTTCACGAAGAAATTCACGAAATTGACGATATCGTGAACTTTATCGTGAACTTTTCACGATGAAATTGACGATATCGTGAATTTTATCGTGAAAAGTTCACGATATAAAGTTCACGATATCGTCAATTTTATCGTGTACTCTATCGTGTACTCTATCGTGTACTCTCCTGACGGGCGCTTCGTAAACAAAACCAGCCCTAGCTGGGGGAGACAGAGAGAAGGAAAAAAGGGAAAGGGAAAGAGAAGATAAAAGGAAAGAAAGAATAATAAGAAGAAAAGAGGGAAACGGGGGGGGGGGGGGCGAAGGGCTCTTGCCTCCTCCTCACTCCCCCCCCCCCCCCCCGCCAAAAAATAAATAAGGAGAGAGAGAAGGGAAAGGGAAAGGGAAAGAAAATATAAAAGGAAAGAAAGAAGAGGAAGAAGGAAAGAGGGAAACGGGGGAAGGGCGAAAGGCTCTTACCTCCCCCCCCCCGCCAAAAAAATAAATAAGAGAGAGAGAGAGAGAGAGAGAAGGGAAAGGGAAAGAAAGAAGAGGAATAAGAGGGAAACAGGGGAAGGGCGAAGGGCTCTTGCCTCCTCCTCACTCCCCCCCCCCGCCAAAAAATAAATAAGGAGAGAGAGAAGGGAAAGGGAAAGGGAAAGAAAATATAAAAGGAAAGAAAGAAGAGGAAGAAGGAAAGAGGGAAACGGGGGAAGGGCGAAAGGCTCTTACCTCCCCCCCCCCCCCCCGCCAAAAAAATAAATAAGAGAGAGAGAGAGAGAGAGAGAGAGAAGGGAAAGGGAAAGAAAGAAGAGGAATAAGAGGGAAACAGGGGAAGGGCGAAGGGCTCTTGCCTCCTCCCCCCCCCCGCCAAAAATAAATAAGAGAGAGAAGGGAAAGGGAAAGAAAATATAAAAGGAAAGAAAGAAGAGGAATAAGAAGGAAAGAGGGAAACGGGGGAAGGGCGAAGGGCTCTTGCCTCCTCCCTCCCCACCCCCCGCCAAAAAAATAAATAAGAGATAGAGAGAGAAGGGAAAGGGAAAGGGAAAGAGAAGATAAAAGGAAAGAAAGAAGAGGAAGAAGAAGAAGAAAAGAGGGAAACGGGGGCGAAGGGCTCTTGCATCCCCCCCCCGCCCAAAAAATAAATAAGAGAGAGAGAGAGAGAGAAGGGAAAGGGAAAGAGAATAAAAAAGGAAAGAAAGAAGAATAAGAAGAAAAGAGGGGCTCTTGCCTCCTCCCCCCCCCTCCCGCGCCAACAAATAAATAGGAGAGAGAGAGAGAGAGATAGAGAGAAGGGAAAGGGAAAGGGAAAGAAAATATAAAAGGAAAGAAAGAAGAAGAAGACGGAAAGAGGGAAACGGGGGAAGGGCGAAAGGCTCTTACCTCCCCCTCCCCCCCTCCCGCCATAAAGGGAAAGAGAAGGGAGAGGGAAAGAAAATATGAAAGGAAAGAAAGAAGAGGAAAAAGAATAAGAAAAGAGGGAAACAGGGGCGAAGGGCTCTTGCCTCCTTTCTTTTCTTTCTTTTCCTTTCTTTCCTATTCTCCCTCTTTTTCGTTTTTCTCTTTCTTTCTTCTCTTTCCCTTTCCTTCTCTCTCTCTCTCTTATTTATTTTTTGGCGGGGGGCGGGGGACGAGGCAAAAGCCCTTTGCCCTCGTTTCCCTCTTTTCTTCTTCTTCCTCTTCTTTCTTTCCTTTATCTTCTCTTTCCCTTTCCCTTTCCCTTCTCTCTCTCTCTCTCTCTGATTTATTTTTTGGCGGGGGAGGGGGGGGGGGGGCAAGAGTCCTTCGCCCTTCCCCCGTTTTCCTCTTTTCTTCTTCTTCCTTTTCTTTCTTTCCTTTTATCTTCTCTTTCCCTTTCCCTTTCCCTTCTCTCTCTCTCTCTTATTTATTTTTTGGCGGGGGGAGGGGGGGGGGCAAGAGTCCTTCGCCCTTCCCCCGTTTTCCTCTTTTCTTCTTCTTCCTCTTCTTTCTTTCCTTTTATCTTCTCTTTCCCTTTCCCTTTCCCTTCTCTCTCTCTCTCTGATTTATTTTTTGGCGGGGAGGGGGGGGGGGGAGTGAGGAGGAGGCAAGAGCCCTTCGCCCCCCCCCCCCCGTTTCCCTCTTTTCTTCTTATTATTCTTTCTTTCCTTTTATCTTCTCTTTCCCTTTCCCTTTTTTCCTTCTCTCTGTCTCCCCCAGCTAGGGCTGGTTTTGTTTACGAAGCGCCCGTCAGGAGAGTACACGATAGAGTACACGATAGAGTACACGATAAAATTGACGATATCGTGAACTTTATATCGTGAACTTTTCACGATAAAATTCACGATATCGTCAATTTCATCGTGAAGAGTTCACGATAAAGTTCACGATATCGTGAATTTCTTCGTGAAAAATATGCGATAAAATTGACGATATCGTGAATTTTATCGCATATTTTTCACGATTTAGTCTATTCGCGATGTCCCTTCAGGGTCACTATATATTCTCACATTGCTTTTAAATCATCGCAGCTGTAGGTGCGGGTAAACAGGAACGTCGGAAGGGAAGGGTGAGATTTTGTTTTCGCCTCTCAGGTTTAATTCCTTTCTGCATTATTTTGATGGAAAATAATCTGTTTGGCACAAATTATGGCACAGTCATGATCGGGAGAAAGAAATTGTTAGCAAGAGGGAGAGAGAGAGAGAGAGAGGGGGGGGGGGTGGGCCACTAGAAAAGTACCACGCGGAGATATTCCCGCTTTTTCAATCTTCAACACATTTTTAAATTAACAAGAGGGGCCGCTTCCGCCTTGACCCCCTCTTCCCATTCCACTTTTACTGTAGTGTTTTACTGAAAAAGCGGGTAGCTAAGATTTTATTTAAGGGGGGTGGTAGTGAGCACGCGAAGCGCGCTAGAGAAAGAAGACGTTTCGTTTTATTGTTCTCGCCTCTCAATCCTTGTCTGAATTCTGTTTCACCCCCTACCGCGCGAAGCGTGGAAGCTTTGACGTTTTATTTAATTATTAGAGAAAGAAGACGATTCGCTTTACCGTTCTCGCCTCTAAATCCTTGTCTGAATTCAGTTCCCCCCTCTAACTTAACTGAACAAGAGGCTATATTTCTCCCCCTTTGCTGGTGGACATCATTTTTCATACTTGTTCTCACAAAATATGTCATGAACATCACAATATTCATAAGATTTTCTTTTTGTTTCATTGTAGGAGAAGCTGGGTGAGATGTTTAGCGTGAAAGGAATCCCGACCTTCATCATCCTCGATAGCGAGACCGGAGCTATCGTCTGCTCGGAGGCAAGAGACGAAGTCATGGACGATCCCGAGGGAGAAGATTTCCCCTGGAAGAAGTAGACTCACTCTCGACTCAACTTCAATCGGGAAAATGAAAATTGAACCAATTTGATCACCACTAATTTCACGAATTTCGTGATCTTTGATCTTGGATAATTATATCAGAAGTCCTGAATTATTTGTATAACTTGTATGAGATAAAATCCAATGGACCTATACTCTTTTATTAGATGAGCAAGCGTATTGATAGGCTCCGAAATCCTAATTTAAATCCAAAATTTGATATAACGGAGTTGTTCACATTAAAGGCATATCATTATCAATCATCTCATTCGAAATTTTGTAAAGACTAGTAAATGGCAGGGGGTCGTTATCGAAATGAATTCCAAGAATGATCCCCAAAATGTCACAATTAAACCTATTTTAGTAAGGCAATTTTGATAGCCTTTACCACCACGTATTAAAATGTTCGGATATTGCAGCGTACAACGAATTATTACGTAATCACGACATGATTTCCATGGAATATACAACAGGATATTGAGCTGATTTCTCGAGAGTCTATGCGATCGCGCGTTTAAGTATATGAATCTACCAAGAAGCTTTCCATAGAACACACTTTATATGATTTAATGAAATAGACTAGAAGGTATGAATATTATGATAAACGTTTCACATGACCTCGAACGCTTTCCAGAAATCAATTCAATGGCAACCAGTATTGGCCCATATAGAAATCATGTTCGTATCCTCAGGAAATATGCCGTGGTTGTGTGCACACACTGTAATTGAAACGCCTTTTGAAATTGCTTGCATTCGATTGGTTTTTAGTCTTTCACTTTCACTTTTATGAGATTGAGTTGTTTTAATCTTCAATTCCTATACTAGCCTATAGTCCACTCATTTTCTTTGCACACCAGTGCACTCCTATGATTAAACATGTAGGACCTATAATTTGTACATGTACATGAACATCTATAGCAAAGACCCAGAGAAAATGTAACCAATGATTGTGATGATTTAAATTTGTTTTATTTGTTCTGTACTATAGTGATTTTTCTGTTGCCGGGTAAGGAAGTCAGTTTCATTCGATATTCGACATGAAGTGTAGGCTTATTATGTAATAAGGCTTTATTTCAGTCTTCATGTATAATATGGTTGAGTGATTACTATAGGAACTAACTTTTAAGTGGATACATTTCGTTTGTATATTGCTTGCTGAATTTTTGTACAAATAAATATTACCCTGTATATTACATTAAATAAGTGCATTTAAATGTTTTAGGAGTTAGGAGAGATGCAATATACATGTGGAAATGAAAGAATAAAACTGAGTAGGGGAGAGAGAGAAAGATAGAGGGAGAAAGATAGAGAGAGAGAAGGGCTGCATAAGAGACGGGAATAGGGAAAATGAGGGAGTGAGAGAAAGAGAGAGAGAGAGAGAGAGAGAGAGAGAGAGAGAAAGAGAAAGAGAGAGAGAGAGAGAAGGGCTGCATAAGAGACGGGAATAGGGAAAATGAGGGAGTGAGAGAAAGAGAGAGAGAGAGGGGAAGATAGATAGATAGATAGAGAGAGAGAGAGAGAGAGAGAGAGAGAGAGAGAGAGAGAGAGATGTGGAGGTGAGTAGAGAGATGGAGAAAGGGGAAATAAAACATGTATACAGTACGTAAACAAAGAGTGTACCCAACTTTAGTAGCTTCTAATTAAAAATGTATAACCCGTGTGACCTTGAATCATATTTTATTGTAAATAATAACTAATAATTGTCTAATGAAACTATTTATTGTGCTGCCAAGGATGACTGAACAGCAGGCTTTTCAAAAAGTATTGTCAAAATCCGCTTGTACCAAGTTAGAGCTGAAGCAATGAATGTGGGTCAAAAGCCATCATGTGTGAGTTATCTCATTCCAAAACAATTGCTTATTTACATTGAATATTAGGCAGTTGATAAAAAAATGGTGTTAATATCAACTCAAACTCAAGGAAATGCTTATTACAAGCAAAATTTATTTTATTCTTTTCGTTATGATGAAACAATCTTGACTTCATTCGCATCCCTTGTTTAAGGTTACCTCCTCATTGAGTGATAACAAAATGGATAAAGTTTATTTGGGATGTTATCTTTTTTCATGAAAGTCTGCTGTCAATTGCTTTGATATTTATCATCATAATGTTCTTTCTTGCATTTGGGTTTAGTAACCTTTGAGTTGTCATTCGCTATTCCAGATAAACACCTTATATGCTCCTTACGCGTGTGAAATGGCGTAGTGGACAAGTAAGAAGAGAGAACTTAGATATCATGAGACAAGAAGTTAGTAGGCTGTCTCAAATAATTTAAGGTTATCCTGTGGATTGAAACAAGGTTCTGTGAAAGCCTAGATGCATTCATTGCACCATAATAAACAATGAAGCACTGAAGCACGAGGCATACTTTGACATTAGAAGGGTTTAAGACCAAAGAAGCACATGCATAATGGCCTGACCCACCCAAACTTGGAACAACGCGATTTTGACAACAACTTTTAAAGACCCCAGTGCTCAGTCACCAGTGGCAGAAATATTATGAATAGGGTATCATTGGACAGAAAATAAGTTACTCTTCATCATGAAATCAATTCCAAAGTCATATCATATTGGTTATGACTTTTCAATTAGAAGCTACCAAAGTTGGTATATATTTGTTTAATACGCACTGCATAGAGAAGGGCTGAGAGACGGGAATAGGGAAAGGGAGGGAGAGACAGAGAGATCGAAAGGGAGAGCGAAAGAAAAAGAAAGAGAGAGAGAGAGACAGAGAGAGAAGAAGGAGACAGTGAGCCTACATCATTATGTCACCCGTATCACAATCCCATTTTATTAATGTAACTATTATTGACATCACTGATATCAGCGAAAATGAAACGAAGCTACAGAACAAGTGATACACTGATTCAATAAGAGGGGCACAGGTCAAAACAAATATCGTCATCATCATCATCATCGTCATCATCATCGTCATCATCATCATCGTCATCGTCATCATCATCATCATCAGAGCAAGAAAAATAATGATTGTGAAAGCATGAAGCTACATGTTGAAACAATGTAGCCAAAGGGACCCTCGATCATATACCTGGAAACATTTGGTAATGATCCCTTTTCAAGTTAGAATAGTGTGCCAACTACAGGTTTGATTTGAGTCATATCATGGACCTACTATCATCACTACGTTTAACCTAGTCTGCACGTACAGCCTTTATTTTGACATTTAAACACAATTCCATAAAGCCTTGAGCTAAGCCTAACTCTGTCAGGCTGTGGCTGTATCAAATAAGTTATAGCACCTTCCCTTTATAGAGGGCAGTAGACCGTGGAATAGCATAGTCTTGCACTTCAGACACTCCGTTACACAATTACGATTGAAAAGAGTTTGTGTCTGCAAACCATCTCTAACCCTTCCTTTACTTGATTTATTTATAGACCATTGCATCATCATTGGACGTGACTTTGCACACAGGAAGCATTAGTCTGTTTGGGTATAAAATAAGGGCAGATACAGCAGCCGCCTGACAGTACACAGAGTATACTCTTCCGTGTATAAATTTGTAACATACTCTCCGTCGGGTTATTATATTAATTACTGAATTATAACAACATAAAACATAATGGCGCTTATTGAGTTGCTTGGAGAAAAATTACAAGGGGCCGGTGGAGCCGAAGTAGAGACATCAAGTCTCTGTGGATCTGGCAGATACGTAGGCCTCTATTTTTCGGCTCACTGGTGCCCCCCTTGCCGAAAGTTCACACCGAAGCTGGCCGAGTTTTACGAGGCTTTCACGAAGAAAAATGAAGGCAAGCTGGAGATTGTCTTCGTGAGTGCGGATGGGAAACTAGAGGAGTTTGATGATTACTTCAAAGAAATGCCATGGTTAAGCCTGCCCTATGCTGACCGTGATAGAGAGGTGAGTTCTGAAGTGCAAAACTTGGCCATGAGCCCCCCCCCCCCCCCCCCCCCCCACCACCAATTATTTCAGATGAGCTTGTCCACGCATAAGTGCCCGTATTTGGATCAGGGGGCTGAGAGGGGGGGGGGGGGGGTGCGTCTCTTCTATTGAACGAGAAAGAAATTCTGTGATGTGATGTTAAGGTTAATTCATGGCATGTTTCTTTGTATCAATTTTTTTCCCTCGATAACATCGATGCCAGAGTTGTTTCCTGTTTGCCATGTTTAGATAATAATAATAATAATAAATAATAATAATATGTCCTGTTTACCCAGGGTAGCCTCATCAGTATTCATACTGTTCTCCCTGAGGGCCCTGCAATCATATTATTACCCCGGTCATCGGATTCAGGCTTACCCGCACACAATGTATGCACATTCTCCACTCCCTGGGGAGCACTCCAGCCAGTGCATCATTTTTACAAGCGCACACTGTCTTGCTAATCTAAGCACATTAGCTTTCGCATCCTACCGGGTACCCATTTAACACCTGGGTGGAGAGTGGCAAATTTAGATCAATGTTTTGCCAAACGACATTAGTGCCGCGGTGGGACTTGAACCGCGGACCTTGTGATCCACAGTCCGGTGACATATCCACTCGTCCACGACACCTCTACTGTTAGCTGTTATACTTTCCTCAAATTTCAAACATTCTGTTTAGCAAGTTTCACACGATGAGTGGGAGAAAAAGGGAAAGATAGGGAGGGCCGCTATAACAACATCGTATACAAACTTGGAGAGGGGGTTCGAGTGATCCCCAAAGAAATATTCATTTTGTCAAAGTTCATTTATGAGTGAAAAAACACCTTTTGGCTTGCCGGAGAAACTATTTAGAGATAAAAGTCATCGTAAAATACGGGGACCTTTCTCTCTCGATCCCGTCCCACAAGCGTTGGGGAACCCCGCCCAAGCTTTTACTCTTCATGTTTTCTAATGGCGAAGTAAGCTATTTTCACATTGCTTTCAATATCATCGCAGGTACGGGTATATAGGAATGTCGGAAGGGAAGTGGCGGGAAATAATTTTCGCCTTTCAGGTTTTTATTCCTTTCGGCATTTTATTGAAAACACAGGATATAGAATTATTCACATTTGTAACATTCTGTTGGGCACAAATTATGACACAGTCATGATCGGGAGAAAGAAGAGTTATAGAGAGAAGGAGACCTTTACTCGAATAAATGCTTACACTGAATGTGAATGGCACGGGCATATAAATATATTCGGGAAGTGTGGTGACCAATATGAATAAATAAGCTTCCCCCTAAACCAAACCATCCGTAATTTAAAAAAAAGTCGAAGCACAAAATAATGGCACAGAATGATGAGCCATCAATCCTTATTTATCAAGTCCCTTGGATAGGCCTTGAGGACGTATTTCTCACTCGTTGCTGATGGACATCATTTTTGCAATGACGAACCTTCGTCATTGCCTTGTTTTCGTTCACATTCTGCCCCATTAATATTCTCCTCCTCCTTTTCCTTGTTTTCCTTATCGTCCGGAAATCACATTCGTTTTGCACATAGTGTTTGTTATTCCTAGTTAGGTGCCTTCATCATGTCCATTTCCTTTCAAATTCCGTAGGCATCATCTCTAGCATCTCATCCAGGTCACCTACTTTTTCGTTTTCTGAAATCACTCATGCGTAAACGTCCAGGCGCCATTTTGTCCTTTTCTGGTCCATTTTAAGGCCTTTCTATCTTCCTTCCTATCTCCACTATCCTAGATCCTACAAACTTCTAACAAATTTCTCTAGATAGTCTAAGAGATGTTCTTTAATCTGCTACTTATAACCTGCCCTTCAAAATGCCATCTTCATACTCAAAATTCAAATCTGAAACCGACTCCGTCAACAATCTCTCAAATTCTTGAAAAATGGACCCCTAAATAATCTAAAACTGCCATAACTTTCTCATATAAATTCAGTTTTGTATATAAATCTTACAGTATCTTTATCTCATAATTGCACATAGCCATGCAAAATTTCACGCTCCAGTGGCTTTGCAAAACATAAATAGCGCCCTCTAAAGTTCTGGGAATTGGCTTTCTTTCTGTGGCCGTATCTCCATTATGGCTTGGCAGATCCGTACCCTTTTTTGGATTTAGATACTTGAGGATATGCCCTTTCCAGCCATATACAAAATGATATACCCTAACACTGACCGACTTTGCGAAAAATGCCCTCCAAATTCGCCATTTTCAAAAAAATTGAGAAATAACTTCAAATTGCTCTAAAATGGCGATCTGTATACCTACGTCAATGAAATTTGGCAGACATATGTATCCATATACGTGACAACTGTCTGCCAAGTTTGGTAAAATCCAAATATGTCAGCGCAAAGTTATCGCCAAAAATGATGAATTTACTATGCATTACGTAATAGCGCGTTTAATGCGTGCAATACATTGCGCGAAGATAACAATGGTGTCAAACTGACCGCAATGAAGTGCCCTTTCGAATGATACCAAGTATAGTATATGTTCACACAGAAAATTGTGAATAAATCGCATTTGAACAAAGGTCACTACACGAATTCAGCCGAGTTTCCGCCCGAATCTAACACGTATCGGCTATGACGTAATTTTTCAGACTACTTTTTGCCCCTTAAACGTCCTTTTTTTTCCTTGAAAATTTGCAGTGACATGCCGAGTTCCAATACGCAGGGCACCTCTTGGCCGGATTTTTGAAATTGGTCAAGGGGGCCATTCAAGACGCCATTTTGTTCTATAAATCTATTTTACATCATGTGTTTCGATAGGATTATCATAGAAAAAAAGAGAGTGGTTTACAATATCAACCATGAAATTCTCTTTCTAATGATACCAAATACGGCCCATAAAGAGACATAAAGAGAGAGAGAAAAAACAATTTAACTCCGGTCATAATACAGATCTTGGACGTTTTCCGCCCATGCATTACACGCATTGTCTATGGGGCATATCGGGTTCATGCTTTTGGCCCCCAGAACGATCTTTATTGCAATGACGAACATGCACCAAATCCCATTGGTTTTTACACGCAGTGCTTGCGAGCCCTTTCTAGGTTCCCCTATCCCAATTTCTTTCAAGCTTCGTAGACATAGCCACTACCATCCCATCAAGGTCCCTGTTGAGGCCTTTCTTTCGCCCTACCTATCTCCAGTATGACAGAAGCTACAGACTTCGTACAAATTGCTCTGGATAGTCCGAGAGAAGCTCTTTCGTTTGACACGTAGAAACACGGCGTCATTGCACGCACATCGTTGTGACACGATTGCATTTCTAGTTCATACTTGTTCTCCTTGCACACAAAAAAACGTCATGAACATCACAATATTCATAAGATTTTCTCTCTGTTTCATTGTAGGGAAAGCTGAGCACGAAGTTTGAGGTGCAAGGAATCCCGACCTTTATCATCCTCGATAGCGAGACCGGCGATGTCATCTGCTCGGAGGCAAGGGACGAAGTCATGGGTGACCCCGAGGGAGCAAATTTCCCCTGGAAGAAGTAGACTCACTCTCGACTCTAACTACAATCGGGAAAAATGAAAATTGGAACAAATTTTATCACCACAAAATTAATGTCACGAATTTCGTGTTCTTTGATCTTGGACGTATATAATTGGATTATTCAATGTAGTCGATAACTGTCTTGTATGAGATAAAATACGACGGACTTATACTCTTTTATTGACAGGCTGCATGCAAAATCTAGCTTTACACGCACCACAGTAAAATTCTAATTTTAAAACCAAAATTTGATATAACGGAGCAAAATCCTGCTACATTTGAATTTTGGGGGATAATACCCCTGCTTTTCTCTTTCTCATTAAGAGCATATCAATTATCTCATTTGAAATCGATTAGAGACAAGTAGATGGCAGGGGGTCCTTTATTGAAATTAATTCCCAACATGATCTCAAAGACTTTCGAGAATCAACCTATTTCAGTAAGGCAAATTTTGCCCACGACGAATTGATATGTGCGGACATTGTGGCCTGTAATGAAGTATGACGTAATCATGACATGATTTCTATGGAATATACAACATGATATTGAGCTAATTGAGCTAAGAGTCTTTGCGATTGCGCGTTACCTGTACTGGAGTGTATTAATCTACCAAGAAGCTTTCCATAGGACACACGTTATATGATTTGATGGAATAGACTAAAAGGTATGCATTATGATAAACGTTCCACACGGCCTCGAATGCTTTCCAGAAATCAATTCAATGGCAATTAATATCATATTATTGTACATATCCCAAAGAAATCATGTTCGTATCAGAAAATACGCCACGGTCATGTTCACTCATTGTGTGCGATTGAAGGGGCTTTTGAAATGACTTGCATTAAATTTTGCTTGGTTTTTACAGTCTATTATTATTTTGAGGCCTAGTCTTATATACTGGCCTATATAGTCCGCTCATTTTATTTGCTCACCACTCCTCTAATCAAACATGTATGGCCTATACATGAACATGTACATCTAGCAAAGACCCAGAGAAAAATGTAACCAATGATTATGATGATTATAATTTTTCTTATTCATCAATGTAGCTCATTAGTGTTCTGTACTATAGTGATTATTCTGTTGCCGGATAAGGAAGCAAGTTTTATTCGATATCCGGCATGAAGTGTAGGCTTATTAGGTAATAAGGCAATCCTTTCATGTATACTATGGTTGAGTGATTACTATGGGAACTAACTTTTAAGTGGATACATTTTGTTTGTATATTGCTTGCTGAATTTTTGTACAAATAAATATTGCCATAATATTACATTAAAGCAGTGCATTTAAATATTCAAAGAATTATGAGACATGCAAGTATACATGTGGAAATGAAAGAGTGTACTGAGTTAGGGAGAGAGAGAGCCTAAACGGCTGTTTTCAGAAAGTCCGTGTTAACTGATTAACAAATATACAAATTATATCACAAACAAAAATCAGTAACAAAAGATAACAAAACATAAACATAGGCCTATGCAAAATAAACGAATCAAATCAAAACAAAGGAAAACATCATTGGCATATGGGTAACTATGAAGAATTAAAAAAAAAAAAGAATTATTATAATGTACAAAACACAAATGAACAATAATGAATCAAAAGTAGATAATTAACAGAGAAGTTTATTGTAAACCGAGAGTCTGATTTACTCTCCTCCCAAGGGTCAGCCCCCCCCCCCCATCATGTATTACCTAGGTGGTGACATGATGATGTTTTTTTTAAGACGTTTTAATTCTATATGGTTTTCAGTTCCGGTCAAATTGTGCTCCAGCACATAGCCCTTCTATAACTTGAAGTCCTTATTCTATTCGTTCGAAATTATGAGAAGAGTGTCGGGTATTACACGGGGACGGGGTTGCGCTTTTCAAAGAAACGTAGAATAGGTTTTGGTGCATTATTATAAAATAAATAACATCTAATCTAATTGACATCAGTGATATCAGCGAAAATAAAACAAAGCTACAGAACAAGAACTCGTGGTACAGGAACCTCCAACAAAGCACGGGGAAGGATTACAGGGTACCAAAAGAAAAACACTCTCGGTTCTGCCATAATCCTCGAGATATTTGTTGAGAATTTGAATAACTATTTCCCACGTTTTGATGTAAAGGTTGACAGGAACATTTCATCACATGTTACAGAATAAGATAGGGTAGTCATCAATAAACACGATGTTAATGGATGATTCAATAAGGGCGCACAGGTCAACAAATTGTGTCATCATCAGAGGAAGACAAATAATGCCTGTGAAAGCATGAATCTATACATGCTGAAACAGTATAGCTGGTGAAAAGACCCTCGATCACGTTCCTGGAAAAAACTTGGTAATGATCCATTTTCAGGCTAGAATAGTGTGCCAACTAAAGGCTTGATTTGAGTCATATCACCATCACTACTCCTAGCCTAGTCTGCTAGCTCGTACGGCCTTTATTTTGACATTAAAGCACAATTTCATAAATCCTTGAGTCAAGCCTAACTATGTCATTATCTGGCTGTGATAATAATAGCCATAGCACCTTGCCTATAATATTATAGAGGTAGTAGATCGTGGAAAAACATAGTCTTGCAGTTCAGACACTCCTTTACACATTACGATTGAAAAGAGTTTGTGTCTGCAAACCCTCTCTTCCTTCCTTTGCTCCGTAACGTTTGTACGTAATCTATTTATAGACCACTGCGTCATCATTGGACCTGACTTGCAAATACAGAAAAGGAAGCATTATTATGTTTGCGAGGGTATAAATAGGGGCAGATACATCAGCCGCCTGACAGTACACAGAGTATACTCTTCCGTGTATATAGTTGTACCATACTCTCCGTCGGGTCATTCTATTAATTACTGAATTATAATATAGCAACATGGCGCTTGTTGAGTTGCTTGGAGAAAAATTACAAGGGGCGGGTGGAGTCGAGATAGAGACATCAAGCCTCTGTGGATCTGGCAAATACGTAGGCCTCTATTTTTCGGCTCACTGGTGCCCCCCTTGCCGAATGTTCACTCCAGAGTTGGCTGAGTTTTACGACGAGTTCACCAAGAAGGATGGGAACCAGGGCAAGCTGGAGATTGTCTTCGTGAGCTCAGATCAGAATGCAGACCAGTTCAAAGATTACTTCAAGGATATGCCATGGAAATGCCTTCCCTTTGCTGACCGGGATAGAAAGGTAAATAGTGATTATGCGTTAATGTTTGCTGCCTAACGCTAAAGCCAGGATAATAGTATCCAAAGTCTTTGGGAAGCGATTATTGATTATGACGGCTAATTATGATTGCCAGTAACGCCTTCATCCGCTTTATACAACGCAATCGCAAAGACTTCAACATTCTATCTATCTATCTAAGTATCTTCTCCCGGTTCGGAGGTTGATTGCAACATCCCTCCATTTCACTGTATCTTCTGCCATTCTGGTGCACTCTTGCAGTTTTAGTCCACTCCAGTTCTTGCCATTCTCTTCCCAGTTGATTCTAGGTCTCCCTCTAGCCTCTACTTCCTTCCACTCTTCCTTCCAATACATCCTTTAAAGGCCCACTGCACTACCGGTAGCTACTTGCGCCCTCTATATAACAAACAATGCCTAATCGGTGACCATTAGTCCCCATGATCCTCTTTTTCTTATGTTAACTCAGAGCTGAGTTGATGAGATAACCACCCGTCCAGTGACCTTGCAGAGCGGTCTAATCCCTCCTGTAAACTACGGCAGATAAGCTTTAAGAGGCTTTGGTGCCTTTCAACTTCTACATTGGGCAATTTCAATAGCCTTATTTGGGAAAGAAAACGAACATTACAATGAAATATTACATAATCCGAGCATGGTCTCTATGATATAGATTATGGATAGGCAAAAGGAGGCTGTTGGCCGGAATTGCCTTTGAGTTGATATTGTGAAGATCTTTACGATACGTAATACCATACAGCTAGTAAAGCTGAATATTATACTCTCTAAACACTCGCGATGTTAAAAAATTGAACCCTCAAAACGCATACAGGGTTGTAATTTTATTCAACAATATCATTGCTATTATACTAGTAGTTTTGCCCCACTGTTTTTTTTTTTAGCTTACTATTAAAACAGGCATCCTCGATATCAAGGGATCGAGCCAAAACCTTTTTTTTTCAATATAAAAATGAAAATAAAAAAAACACCCTGGAAAATGGAACGACAATCCTTTACTGTCGGTGCATATACAGCGTATAGCTCAGACTGATCGAGTAAACAGATATGCTCCACGAAGTGTGGCTCAGATATGCTTTACGTGTTATACAATAACAATCCCATCCTCGATCAAACAGGCCTTGACCTTGCCATATGCAATACACACCACGTACTGAAAAGCTGTATGGCTTGCGTCCTCAAAATGAATTCCATTTTCATTCAAACACGGCCTATATGCATTGACTATATTATAACATCGCATGCTGTACCAAGGAAAAACTCCTTGACTGTACATTGTCATTGATGTGGATTCATGATAAATATCCATGCAAGCTTAGATTCAATGTGAAATTAAATTTAGCCTATCATAATGTAAGCATATCAAAATACATAAACATAGTTATTTTTATAAATAAAAAAACCCAGCATATAAACTCTTAACAAATGCAACAATAACAATAACATCATCAACAACAACAACCACAAAACACTAAGGCATATACAAGTGCATATATTATATAGCAGCATAGTGCATTATGTACGTAGCTTTACTGTTGGATGTGATGGGGCCATAATTATAATTTCCCTAGTCGTTGTAATGTATGAATAGGGACTTTTAGATTTGCACGAAGACAATGTGAATTGCTACGATCGACGTCCTTTTAATCACTCCCTTGACATCACACGTACATATCAGTCCACGCAAATATAAAAGTCCATAATGCCTTATATACGAGAACGTATTAGCAGTTGCCGCATTTTCAATACAATACGGGCGGATATGAAATATAATCTTGTGGTTATACACACCTCAACGATTGCCATTCAGTTTTTTTCATGCATATTTTATGCCCTAGTGTTTATCAGACTGACTACATATCGTGTGCGCGTGCTTGTATGTGTGTGTCCTCGTTTGTGTGTGTGTGTGTGTGTGTGTTTTTTTTTTTTTTTTTTTGGGGGGGGGGGGGAATAGTTCCGTCTTAATTTATCAGTTTTAACCTCAACAGAGCGGGTTATGATTGCATAGCTTCATGCATTATCAAGTTAATCATTCGATGACTATTGATTCGTCGGTAGGCCGAGAGGCTGTTAATCCAAAATACATATATGGAGTATTGAAGTACAGCAGAAATAAGAATACAGAAGGTATGCCTCGTCGTATTATTATGATTATCATAATGTAACCAAATTCATATTTGGTGTCTCTATACGAATTATTTCATTCACCTGTATAATAATTGTATTTCAATAATCAGAATGTAAACTATACGTATTGATAGGAACGGCAAGCAATATTGTTTGTCCCATTTAGCAACAACTATATGCAATTTGAATTCTGACTATTTAGATACATTTTGTTCGTAGCAGGTAACTTAAATGATTCTTATATCGAGGCGCTTCTTAAAAGCATATATATGCATAAACTTGGTTACATTAATGGCCTATTATTCCTAATGCGCATGCGTTCAATAATACTTAAGTGCTTCATTGTCCGTATATGGAAATTCTTCTCATTTACAACCGATATACATGTTGAATATCCGTAAATAACCAACAAAATAAACAGCAAAACAATGAAGAACAAGCGGGACATAAAGACAAATATATACAAGTATACATATATACGTTAATGATGTTTATGGAATCCAAATAGCCTATTACAGAATGAATGTGAACTGAAGATGAAAATCGAGATGAATATAAATTATTATCAACATATTCCCACAATATTCCAGAACATGGTCTCATTCTCATAAGAAAACATTATACACGGTGGACCGGGGTGCGTGGATTGGAGTGCGTCATTGCTCTTACGTAATGCAATCTAGAAATATCAAATATTATGATCAGATAAACATGATGATTCATGGTTGAGGTTGCGGATACGATCTTTAAACATTCACACACCCTGGCTTGAACGCTCTATCACGTCAAGCAATCATTATAGTTATGCAATATACAAACTTTGTTTCGAAGCATACATTAAAGGCATCGTTTAACAATGTTAAATCTGGAATACATTGCCCTGTTATCAGTGTCTGTGATATCACAGACACTGATAACAGGGCAATGTATAATAGTGTAATATTGAAGCCCTAACAAAATTGCGCTTGAAGAAGATCATGAAGTGCCTCAAAAAAAGTAAAAATCTTTGAATAACCGGTTTTACCATACTCATTTCCCCCAATAGACCGTAGTGTTATGAAAACTGTTAGGCAAACGCAAAATGAAATAGCGATTTTCAAATCATAAATATTTTGATAATCAGACAGGCGATCGGCTTGTAAAAGCCATGGGATTCCTAAATGACATAAAGGTTTATAATTATGATTGCAGCATGAGCTAAATCAATGATTTTGTTTAAGGATCTGCGAAAAAGTTACCGAATCCCTTTAAGTATCTGGTGATAACTATATATGAAGACGCACCAACACGATTGCGAAGACTTTCGAGAAATCAATCCTAGGCGATGTCAATATCCGTGTTTGTCACCTATTGAAATGTGCACCAATTCCAGTGACGTATTACGTAAACCGAACTTCTTAGTATCTTAGTAGGTCCATGGTCTAATTAATACGGTCTTGAAATAACCTTTAATAGATTTCATGAAAGTATTCGCAATCAAGCTTAATGACATGTTCTTCGATTTCTATGGCACTTGTGTAATTGAGTGTTACCATTTGAGATGATATTCGGGCCGGTGGGGAATGTTAACGTTAGTATTGAAATGAAATATTCTCGAAACATTGACAATTTACCACTTTACCCCCCCCCCCCCTCCATGCAACTCCTGCAGATCATCCCAATCTAACCTGATTATTGTCTGCTTTTCTTTCTTACCATGCAGGGAGCGGTGACTACGAAGTTTGGTGTGAGAGGAATCCCGACGCTCATCATACTCGACAGCGAGAGCGGCGAGATCGTCTGCAAGGACGCCAGGGGCCACGTGGGAAGCGACCCCGACGGTGCCAAGTTTCCCTGGAAGAACTAGACTCACTCTCTCAACCGTGAGCGCCACGCTCCCAATCATCACCTCATTAAGCATGTCGATGACAGGGTGCCATTTGTAAAGTCTAATGATAACAATTACCATGGTAGCGCCTCCTCTCTGACGATTATTTTTTGTTCTTCTTCTCAAAATTGTGTTAAATACGATGGCAACTATTTTCGAAAAAACATCTCAAGGGCAATTTTAATACTCTATTTCATGTCCTGTACAATTACATTGATATTACGTAATACATGCGACATTGTCAATGTTCGTACTGTTCAATATGTGACGCACAAGGCGGTTGAAATTACCTTGGGTTGATTTCTCGAAAGCATTTGCTACCGTGTTTTTATATCAATTTTGTTTATTAGACCCGGGGTTGTTTCACAAAGATCCTAAGTTGAACTGATCTCTAAGTTGGACTTAAAACTTATGGAAAGCCGTTAGCATCTATGGAAATATTTTGTAAAAGTTATTTTAAAAGGCATAGAATGTTGATTCAAATGATTTATATTTCAAGGAGATTTCACGTTCTTGATGTGGAATTCATAAAAAGTCTAAAACATTTTTTGCTTTTGAATATATTTTATTTTAAGTCTACAAATGGCTTTCCATAATATTTAAGTCTAACTTAGAGTTAATTTCGACTTAGAATCTTTGTGAAACACCCCCCCCCCCCTGGTCGCAAAGACAATCAACTCAAAGGCAATTGCAATGTATCCAAATGTATATCCACATAGAAATCATGTTACATGTATAGGATAACGCAATGTGTCATATATTACGCACATCACATTACAGAAGATGACAGACAAGGCTATTGAAACATCCGTAGGTCAATTATTCGACAGTCTTTGCGAATGTGATATGTTTCTGTTTAAAAAGGGAATGTACTATCGCAAAGAATTTCGTAAAATCACCCCCAAGACAATTTCAACTGCCTTGTATCTCACCCTTTCGAATTGTGCGACCATTATTGTGCGACCATTATTGTGCGACCATTTTGTAGAACGAAATATTTGAGAAATACTCTCACAGGTGGGGGCTATGTTAAATAGATGAACGTATTTTGTTTGATTGTTTTTCCGTGAATATAGTTAATCTATCGGATAATCTGTTTCTTAGACTAAAGATCTTAGCTTCAAACTGTTACATTTTATCATTTTATCATTATGCTGCATTATTGTAGAGCGCTTAGAGACTCCTGACAAAGTAAGTGTTAGGTGCTATAATTATAAGCACTGTAATTATTATTATTATTATTCCTAGACCGTAGACGAGACTATACACTAAATGGTGTTGTTTTGTAGTTTGCCTTTGCCCAGTGAGACAAAATCGTGAAAATTAATGATCTGGAATAAATTGAACAAATACAATGAATTTGCTGTTTTTATATGGATGATAATATTATGCGTTTGGATACTTGAACAGTGACTTTGCTGTTTTTATATAGATGTTAAAAGTTTTATGAATACGTGATAACAGTGACTTTGCTGTTTTTTTATATGGATGTTTAAAGTCCATTTACGCTTTAGTTCACACGTAGTCGCTTCCCTCCCGGATTGGGATTATAGGGAACATTAATTAAATTCAATAATTCATCAATATGCTGACATGCTGAATGTTAATTGAACCATCAAGGCTTGGTAACATATTTCAATCGCGTTTTGTCTAAAATGTGCAAGGGGGAAACCCGAATGATGAAGATATTGTTGTGTGAAGCTATTCGAGTGAAACCTTTGTATTGGAAATATGCCTAAAAGTGTGATTCATGCATGGGATACATAGATATACAGGGGTAGTGTTATCTAATGGAGAGTTATATAAGGAAACATGATCACCTCATCATAATTGTGAAAAGACAATTGAGAATGAAACTAGACCCACTAACTAGGACAAAGGGGGTGTTTCACAAAGACTAAGATGGACTTATAAGTTTGACTTGAAATATGGCAGGGCATTCATGCCACTAGTTCCTCTAACCATTTCAGGCATTGGTTTCTCAAGGGACGTTCAAATCGTGGTCACAAATAATGTACAGAATTAACATTTTTTGATAGATCATTATTAAAATATATTATCTACAGATCATAATTGAGAGACCAATGGTGAGAGCAACCAGTGGCATGAATGGCCTGCCATAGTTAAGTCAATCTTAGTCTTTGTGAAACACCCCCATGGACTGATACCACCATCAAGCAGTGGATGGACATGTCATTTGAGCAGCTATTAACTAGAGAAGCTAAAGATCGGAAGTTAAGGAGAACCTGTGTCTCAATCAAGGTCATTTCATTGTTGGCCCAACAGTGTTGTCAAAATAGATAGTGTTGTCTTTCGTATCCGGACAAAATATAATCAGATTAGTTGTCCGGTGACATTGTCTTTGGGATGGGTTTTCCGGGGGATACTTGTCCGAGGGTGGTAGACAAGGGGGAGGGCGGGTGGGCTGTTCTTATATCGTTGTCTTTCATCGTTATGGCAATGGGTTTGCTTTAGAAATAAAGGTATAGAAATATATAGATATGTAAATGTTCTTATTTCGTTTGATACATCTATACAATTCTTGAAATGATATTTTTGTGAATCTTTTTTGCGTGTGCTGAAATCTTGTGGAATTTTGTCATGACAATATTAGAACTTTCATTCATTTCTTATCAAGAATATATTTTTCATGGAGTTTCATATAAAGTTTATCCTTGGTATGGTCGACTGCCTCTCCGTTACGGCAAGTAGATATTATTCTAACATTATTTCAATCTACAATGTAGATACTGTTTTGTCTCTTTCTTTTTTGTTTTGTACGTAATAAACAGAGTCTTTTCATACAGAAGGGCTATCATGCGTTGAACTTGCTTTATGTGGAAGAGAGGAGAAAGCGCATTATAACAAGCTAAAGAACGATGTAGACAAGACAATATACACAAGGGAATAAGATATGTATGGGAACACTGGAGAGAAAAGGAAAAGAATACAAGAGGGAGAGACAGAGTGAAGCGAAGTAGTAGTAGAAGCAAAAGAAGAAGAGGAAGATGGAGAAGGAGAAGGAGAAGGAGGAGAAGGAGGAGAAGGAGGAGAAGGAGGAGAAGGAGGAGAAGGAGGAGGAGGAGAAGGAGGAGGAGGAGGAGAAGGAGAAGGAGGAGGAGGAGGAGAAGGAGAAGAAGGAGGAAGAGGAGGAGGAGAACGAGAAGAAGAAGGAGGAGAAGGAGCAGAAGGAGCAGAAGGAGGAAGAGGAGGAGGAGGAGAAGGAGGAGAAGGAGAAGAAGAAGAAGGAGAAGAAAGAGAAGAAGGAGAAGGAGAAAAGGGAGAAGGAGAAGTAGAAGAAGAAGAAGAAGAAGAAGAAGAAGAAGAAGAAGAAGAAGAAGGAAAGAAGAAGAAGAAGAAAAAGGAGAAAGAGAAGGAGAAGAAGGAGAAGAAGAAGAAGAAGAATAATAATAGAGAGAGAGAGAGAGAGAGAGAGAGAGAGAGAGAGAGAGAGAGAGAGAGAGAGAGAGAAGGGGATAACACTTAAACAGGAATCGGATATTACATATTAAGTATGTTAGCCATCTTCCATCTCATTTAAATAATTTTCATATAATGGCGAGTAAAACAAATGCAATCATTATATGCTCACTCCCCTTCATCCTCCTCGTGTGACAACTTAAAAAATAAATGATTCTCATTGATCTCGTACTTGAAAGTGATTTATCAGTAGTTATTTTAATTTACATGCTATGAAATAATAATGCCAATAATAACATTAGAAACCATAGTATATATACCATACACACATCATCATTCACATATTGTAGGCAGCTATGTTTTCATTTCAAAGAATCATAATAATTATAACATGAAATTAAAAGAAAAAACAACAGAAAACAACTGTTAAAACTTGAAAAAATAAACTGTACGCAAAGTAAAATAACTCCAGAAATTAATACGCTCCCGATAAATATTGCAAACATAACCAATCTAGCATTGCTGTCCAGACGATGTTATCTTACAATTTCAAAATTCATGATTCCTCTGTGAAGAAAATATGCGTATCCTGTCCCATTCTGATCATATCGATCACAACCATTGGTTTAGAATAGTTTAGTGGTTACTCTACTTTCGTTAGACCATTAATGAGCTGAATCAACCAGTCTTTTCTACCCAGAGACAAGGTAATTGGAGAGCAGACTAAGCTATTTTCGTCACGTATGTCACTGACGACACCTCATATTATGTTAATAGGGACTTTTAGATTCACACAAAGACAATAGGTCTATGCTACGATCGACGCAAATCTGAAAGTCCCTATTGTTGAAGTGGCCCAAACATGTATGCAGCCCTTGTAACTGCAATGAAAAGTTTCCATATCAAATACATTTTTGAGTTGATTGGATTAAGTACACCTGAAGATTGTTTTAATTTACAAGCCCAATGCTAGAATTTGGGATACTGATTTTGAATACCGAAGGAATGAGGAAGGACTGAAGAAGGACTAAAATTTAAATGCAAAATCCAAACCCACCTCTTAGCATAAAACATGCCACAAATAAACCCAACAGGAAAGAAATAAAACATATAAATGGAAGGCAGATAATATATGCATAAAATTATGGAACATTCTATCATAAAGTACAAATAATATATATTAAAAGATTTAACTAAGAATTACAGTGAATGTAAAAATAAAGAAAACTAATTTTGTTGAAGCCAATGTTGCATTACACCACGAAACCAAGTTTTAAAAAGCAATGTAACAATAACAAAAATAGCAGTTATGAATAAGAAGTAATTGCGGCAATGGGATAGGTACTCTTATGTGCTTGTGCAAAGAAAACAAAAATGTTGACTAGTTCTTAATTCTTGCATGAAATATTCTCACCATCTTAATGATTTTAGATTCATTCTTATTTACTCATAGCCCTTTTTAAAACCCAAATGTGATTTAAATTCCAATGCAGGCTAAGAAAATGTAAAACCAGAGACAAAACCTGTTAGAGAGAGACTTTTTGGCTGCAAGAAACTTTTGCCAAATGCAACATTTCAGTTACATGAGTTATCTACATGTATTTTGAAGCATAAACCCAAAATATAGAACAAATTGACAAAAGTTTCTTACACAAAAAAGTTTATATTCTTACAGCATATACAGTGAAACCCCATCTAACTAGGATACAACTACCCCCAAAACTGGTAACATGATCACTGGTAACATGATCACTATACACATGTGGCCTTTATAAAGGTATGCTGTCCTCTAAGGCAGGTTTGACCATAGGTCTATGGTTTGACTGTAGTTAACAAAGTGCCACACCAGCTAACAATGTTGCATGCAGGCAAAGTTACTTGAGAAGATTGCTACTACAGGTATATGAGCTAAAAAGTCAATATAACAGACATGTTGTGATCATAACAGGAAATGTTCTTTGAGCATACATGTATGGTGAAACCATGCAGTGCATACATCATGTGAAATGTTTGAGAATAAAGTTGAGAAAATGTCATATTCTACTAAAAATGTGTAATTTGTGTAATCAGCATGATAGAATACACATTTCATGAAACCACATGAAACTTACACAATGATACATACCGGTATATGAGAAGGCTCCAGTAGTTAATACCATTTATCTTTAAAAAGTTGTGATATAACATATGTTGATACCATTGAAACCATTTGGCTCAAACTATCACCTTCATGCATCTAAACATTTAGTTATGCTACCTTACAGATTCAGTGAACTGAACTCAAACAAGAATGCTACATTTCTTCATGAAAATAAAATATGTCACATATAACTTCCCTCAACTGCTCCTTTACAACACACAAGAAAGTAAACTTACAAACATACACTTTGTCCAAAACACATTGATTAGAAATAACATTATCTATGAAATAACAAAGAACATATTTTCCATTTTCACACACTGTGTTCAATATGTTTGTATGTATGTACGCATATCAATATCTCATAGTAGTAAAACATCACTTTACAATCTCTTTACATATTATTCTGACCTGATATCGTTACTTGTGAATCGTAATAACTCACATCTCTTCAATCTCCAATGTACATTACCATCATAGAATAATTTAAATATAACTTAATATAATTATGAAAGTTATGCATAGATTTACATTATTTTACATGTCAGTATCATACTACTCTCTGAGCAGTGTCTCGGGTACATGTCTAAAAACTACATTTTTTAAACCAATCATTTCAGATCTAGCTATGTCGCAGCATTTCAAGATGAGCTGCTCGACACTACCTTTGCTAACTTAGTTTCAACGAAATCCTATCTGATAGATATTTGAAAAGGATAGAAATAAAGGATATAAAATAACAAAGAAGAAACAAAGAAATAAAAAAATAAATACAGAGCAAGAAGTAGAGATTAGGGAAGAAAATGGAAGAAAGCTAGAGAGATAGAGAAGGGGAGGGGGGCAGAGAGAGAGAGAGTGGGTGGGGAGAGGGAGAGGGGGAGAGAGGGGGGGAGAGAGAGGGGAGGGAGAGAGGGGAGAGAGACAGAGAGTGAGAGAGAGAGAGAATGAGAGAGAGAGAGAGAGAGAGAGAGAGATAGAGAGAGGAATAAGGGTTAAACAACTTATCCTTTATATAATTATACAGACTAATTCACAACATAAAATCAATCAAGGTATATATGATTTCTCTCTACAAATATATCCAAAGCTAAAAAAAGGCAAAATGTTACAATATCATATCTCTACCCCAGAATGAATGCACATTACATAAAGGACTAAATAACTCGATAACCTTTCAACAATCCTCGGAACCTAGCATCACATGCATTCACAGCTTCTATAATCTTCTAATGATACCAAACGCAGAGAGCAAAAAGATTTTAAGAAGAAAACTGAGAAAGTGCGTTGCTCTATAGATTAAATACGGGAAGTCAAATTCAATTGCCTTAATGAAATTTCACACAGTATACAATAGTATTAAATTGCCAGGTAGATAATTTGCAAAACACAAGAGTGGATATCTGAAAAAAGAAAAATAATATGTTATTGTGCCAATAAACTGAGTGACTACAGTGAATCTCTACGATGCTTTTAAGTATTAATATCATACGCAATCAGACTATATTGCCATTTGTGCACATATATATTGCTCTGCAGTGCAAAAAGGGGCAAACGTTGAAAGCTCAACTTTGCACTTCGAACAGACCATCAGTGTAGACTGCGAACCAGATACGGTGACCTCTAAGACCATTGTTTTTTATCAAGGCATGATTCAAACCTCTGAAAGAGCAATTAGTGCAGTCTAGAGACCAAAGATCATCAACATCTTGGTCAGACCTGCCATATCACCTGCTTGGAGCAAGATGGATGTTAACACTGTGTTAGAGTATATGAGTTAACACCCTTATGGTTCAAAATGAACGATATCTTTATAATGCACACTGAGATGTATCGATAGTGAGCCTCAGTCATTGCTCAACAGACAGCTCACATCCATTCAAGAACAAGCTTGCTCAGACCGAACCAAATAGTGGCTTCATTGCAATCTTCTCTGTATGGACTGTCAGACTAAACAGAATCTTATAAAAATTTTGTAAGTAATTGCACAGAATTTCACTGAAATTAGTGCACCCAGTCAAATATACAGGTACTTTTCAAAAGTGCAAGAGATTCTGTAATGTAGAGCAGTTAACATGTTATGCTTTCTTGCTATAATTTCACCTCTTTTAAAAACTTACTTACATGTAGGTAATCCCCAAAGAGTTATCATAACTTTCTTGTATCTTGAATGACACTTGATGCCAAACCGACTCCACAAACTCCTAACTATCCACCTTTTTGCCATTTGAGGTAATGAAATTGTTTGATCGGTCTGTTAGTCTCCTTGATGCGACCGGAGTATAACAACTGTTTTTAAGTACACCCATAAAATTGGTAACCAAAGAATGCTTATAAATGCTTTTATGAAGTGAAATGTAAAATTGACATGAAAGTATTCTCATCATCAATATCACCGTCGTCATCATCAACATCAGCATCACCGTCCTAGATTAGCCAGGTCGACTTCTGGTACTGTTTTCACATAGTCTCACTCATTGTCTTTGAATTGAGATCGTTCTGCAGGGCTCGCCTCACAGCTGCAATGTCCCTCACATGATGATCAATTAACGGTAGATGACTGCAACGGACTTGCTGCGATGATAACATTGTCAGATCACAGAGGCGCTCACCGCCCGAGAGGCACAACACCAAATCCTCGATCAACAATTCAAGTTTGTTTCATTTATCAACCCATCTAATCATGATTATCCATCTCATCTCACCATCTACCCATCTCCTCATCTGTACCCGGATGTCTTTGCCGCGGTAGCATTGGAAGCACCATCGCTGGTATCCATAGCTTCTTCTATAGGTTGGATGGGACGAGCGGAGGATGGAGCGGTGCGGCTGGAGGACGGCTTGGTCAACAGGTCTTCATCAAAGGCAAACTGAGTCTGAGGCGTCTTGGCAGGACTGAAATATAGAATTTAGAATAGGAGTGGTGATAATACTGCAACAATTACATTTTTATTGAAATAATAGGGTGTTTCTACACTGCCAAAGTCAGGTAGTAGTACCTTTTGACTGGTAAAAATAGATGTTTGAAAATCTGTTAAAAGGTTATTGAAGCAAGATTTCATGAGTGGTACCAATCGCTAAAAAAATTCTTTGGATGTAGCCATATGATTATAAAGATATCTTTGTTTTTAGAGGTTGTTGTAATGTGGTACCAGATTTTTTAACTTGATGTTCGTATTGACAATATACATATCCTTTTCTATCCTCTTTATAAGCTTTGACATGTTTGTTTCTCATCAGGAACATACTTTATCTACCACTTGATGATGACAGTCTGAGGTCATACCTCCATTGTATAGACAGGGGCATGGGAAAAATAAACAGATGTGTGTGCGCAATCAACTTTTGAAAGACATGGTAGAATTGGGATTATGGTAAAAGGGTTTCCTCTGAATCATCCGCGATCTAAACATGGTTAATTTTTTCTTTTAGCATTGTTCTAGGGAGAGGGTAATTTCTATAAGGCAAGACAGTATACTTGAATTACTTACCTAATTGCAGACCTAGGACTAATACTTCCAGGGATCTTACGAGGCGACCTCACTTTGGTAAAGTGGTGAACTTTCTGATGCATGCTCTCCAACACAGAGGGCGCTACATATGTAAAACCCTGCAAGACGAAAGGAATTAGGTTTACAACTTGGTATCAGGATAGCATCTAATAAAATAGTCATTAGTTTTATCACGTGGACATCCCATTGAAACGCCTATTAATATCATAGCACAATTTAAAGAGAAATCAACAAACTTCAATACACAAAGATTTTCTTAAGAGGCAGTTATCAGAGGGACTTCTATTTTTGCCTATAGTTCTATTTTGTGAGAGGGATTAAAAGAGAGAGAGAGAGAGAGAGAGAGGCAGATAGACAGACAGACAGAGAGAGAGAGAGAGAGAGAGAAGGGGGGACGGGGAGAGAGAGAATACCATGAGGGGCATACAGAATTACTGAAGAGAGAGAAAGATGATGCAAGGACAGATACACATAGTAACACAAATAGATCAATATATCATCTAGGTCAACAATAAGATTAAGACACATTGATAAACAAGTACAGTCAAACTTGTCTATAGCGACCGCATAAGGGAAACCACAAAAAGTGGTCTTTGTAGACAGGTGGCCTTTGTAGACAGGTTCCTTTAGTACATGTTTCAATGAGATACCATTTTCAAGGGAAACAACAAATATGTGGTCTTTATAGACAGGTGGTCACTAAAGCAGGTTTGACTGTATTATATAATTGAACACATAGAGCAATATGAACTTGATTGATAGACAGGAATAAAGGAGAAATTGGCAACTACTAGTACTTACTAGGAAGATCTGATTGGCACTTTCACTGAGCATAGAATCATCTGGACTATCTACTGGTGTTTGCTTGGTAAACTTGGAGTCAAACTGGCTAACATCCTCCTCATTCACCTGTAAAGAGAGGGTTAAGAATTCATATGTAAGTATAACATAATGTAACATACATCATCTGGACTATCTACACTTGCAACGTGAGACTCTGAAAGCTTTCTTTTCTTTCATCTTTCTGAAATCTAATACTGCATTTTTCCTAACAGGCGATTCTTTAGAGGTGGGAGGAGGGCGAGAATATTATAAATAAGGCCTGTTGGTCATAAGAGTGACGTCCACTTTTGGTGACTGAATTCGCCAGTTGACATGTAAATAGCTAATGTCCTTTAGCAAGACATTCATTTGCATTTGCCACTCTCCACCCAGGTGTGGTAAATGGATACTCGGTAGGAAATTAATCCTTGAATGCTTTTTAGTGCCTTAAGGTAGCTGGACTAAACCCAGGTTGATAATAATACTTTGTATGCGCCTTGAGCACCCCCTGGGATGGATACATGGTGCACGATATAAATGTACCTTTACAGTGAATACTTTCTATACAGACCATCCAAGGGAGACAAGAAAAGTGGTCTTTATAGGCAGGTGGACTGTATGTACAAGCTCTATTAGTACATGTTTCAATGAGCAACCATTTTAAAGGGGACACAAAAAATATACAGGGGGGTCACTAAAGCAGGTTCGACTGTACTATTATTGGTGTGAAATTCCCTATGAGAGCCCATGATTATGTGTCTTTAAAGCCCCACTGCACTACTTATAGCTGATTGCACCCTCTATATAGCAAACAATGCCTAATTGGTGCCCATTGGTCCCCCATTTCTTATGTTAATTGAGAGCGGATTTGATGAGATAACCACCTGTCAGTGACCGTGCAGGGAGGTCTAATCCCCCTGGTCAAACTAGTGCAGATAGGCTTTAAATATGTAATGATGAATAACCAGACACTAGGTAAACTTACCACAGCAGGTGTAATAGGGGGTTCCCCCTTCCTTGCTAGTACATCATCCCACTTGACATGTCTGAAGAAAGGATGTTTCCTAATCCTAGTAGCGTCCTCTGGACCGCTGCCTAGTCTGGCTGAGATGTGTCTCTTCAGTAACTGGAAAGATGAAAGAAGAAGAATGCTATCAACCATCGCGACATTCAAAATGCAATGGATAGTAAACAAAACATGTTATTATGCTCAAAGTAATGGTAGAGTGAATTCTTGTTGTTGTTGGTTGGTTGGTTTTTAGTTGACTACTAAGACAGCATATGTGTGCTTGTAAGTAAGCAACCAGGGGACCGACAGCTTTAAATCCTCTACGAGCGTCTGGGTAATGAGGATCAATGCCTTACCAAAGGGCACTAACGCAACGACTTGGTTTCGAACCCGGGACATCCCAGTTATGAGACCACTGCTCTACCACTGACCCTGGATAGGTGACTATACCATCAGATTTATATTCCTTGCTTGTCAAGCATAGTGATGTTTTAAGTGAAAAAGCAAATAATTTCACAACAGTGACATGGGAAAAATGTTTACAAATACCCCTGCAGAAGGGCACCCATAAAAATCAAGAGCTTGACATGTATATGATTTTTAAAAGTTACGTGCTCCTTACCTTTCTCACGAGGTCTCTAGCTTCATGTGTTAGATATGGAGGTAGACTGAGCTTGCCTTTTAGAATCTGAAAAGAACAACGACAGATTTGATAAACGTAAAAATTGTTGACACAGAAATACTATTTCACCTGCCAGTGCTCCTCCACATTTCAAAAGCAAAGTCATAGATAATAATAATAATAAGAAAAATAATAGCCTAATAGTCCACTCCAAATTTTATTAAACCGAAACAGAAATTCTTTTTGCCCAAATGATCGTGAGCCCGGCAGCCACTGAGCAGCGCCAGATCGACGTTGCTCTATCCCTTATTGTTGAACGCCAAACAAGGTAGCAACAACTCCCATCTTTTAACGTCTTTTGGTATGACGCGGCCGGGGTTCGAACCCACGACCTCCCGGTTGTGAGGCGGACGCTCTACTAACTGAGCCTACATTTAACAATGATAATGTCAATACTCTCAAATCAATCTGGGTCATATTGATAACCAAGCACCTTCATAGTTCTTGCTTTTACCATCCTGACTCTAATCTATCTACCCTAAGGCTTTAAAAAACATCCTGGGAATTTCTTTCACCGAGGTACCAATGCTAGACTGAGACGATTGATGATGATGATGATGATTATAATACTACTGAAAACAAAAGCTCCATTTATAATGAGCACATATCCTTTACAGGGGATGATCAAGGCATCTTCAAATTATTATAACTACTCTGGCTTTGACCCAGCTGCTCTAAGTAAGATGCTAAAAGCATTCAAGGAATAAATTCCTACCAGGTACCCATTAACTACACCAATATTGATGAAGAGAGTGGCAAATGTAGATCAATGTCTAGCCAAAGGACATTAGGGCCACGGCGGGACTTGAACCACTGACCGTGTGATTCACAGTCCGGTGATATATCCGCCATACTATGGCACCTCTTCATATGTTGCAAATAAAGTTCTCCTACATTATCAAGTCATTGTGCTGATAATTCATTACCGTCCGGTCGTGGTAACATGATAGTTAGTTCATCGATATATACTTACTTTCTCAATGGTCTTCTTTCTGTTTTCTGCTGTGAATGGAGGCTGCAAGGACAAAACAAATATATCAATACCATACCTCAATACAAATGGGATTTGTTATGAGACCAGTTCATGGTTATCACATTACTGCAATGACCCCTAATATCCACAGATCTTTAAAACATGAAGAGGTCTAACTTTATACATTTTGAAATAATCACTCCTACAGCGATGGAGGTGCTACATAAATAGCCTTTGTTTCCCCTTTTCAAAGATTACTTCCACTTGTGTATCACGGAGTGCACTGAATGTGCATGAATAAATAATGATTACATAACTTTCATGAGTGCGTATCCAGTATTTAGTCTCTGTGTTTTTCAAAATTTGTTTTGCAATGGCCTTTATCTGCTCATGCTCAGACTAGCTTACGTGAACTAGCTTACAAGAAGCTTAGGAGTGTTTGTTATCGAGGTAACACACAGTGGGTGATGCAATGACGGGTAAATTAATTTAATCATTAGTAGGTCCTGTTTGTCTTTCATTTAAATAGTTGAATTCGTGTTTCCAAACCTGAAGAGATGCAAGGACCAAATAGGCTATGGGTAACTGGTAATCTTTCTACAGATATCTCTGTGAAAGCCTGCATAGTCCTTTCAAGATTTACAATAGAAGAAGAAGAAGGGTCTGTCCAACTGAACAAACTATTGTATCCCTTAAAATAAAATTTGATACCAGGAAATTGAAAATTAATTATTTATTATACAATAGGTTTCACATACTTCCAATAACGTCACTAAATTGACACAATGTGAATAATCAGGTACAAGGTCAAAGGTCAAAGGTCAGAGGTTATGTACTTACCCCACCAGTAAGCATGTCATACATGAGTGCCCCTAGACTCCACCAGTCCACGTCTTTACCATGTCCACTCCGACTAACAATCTCAGGAGCCCTGATCAAAGGAGAAACATTCACACACACACACACAAACAAAAATAATTCATTAATGGAAAATCCAATCTTCATAGACAGGTACAGAAATCAGAGAAAGCTTTCATCACAAGACGTATGGGCATTTAAAATGGACTGAATCTGTTATGTTATGTCACTGTGAGTGTCACATAGTGCCGGACAGCTTTCCCATTTGTTTCAACAACAAAAATATAAAAAAATACAATTTATCAAAACATATGAATCAGAAGGGTACTTGCTATTAAGAGGACCTATAATAATTTGCTATCCATAATATATTTTGAGTAGTGCCTCATGGGAGAGGGCACACAGGAGAAAAAAAAAGAAATTTATAAAATGTTTGTACATGACAAACAGGAGAGTTGTCAATGGCTATTTCACATTCCACTGACCAAATTGCTATTTTGAGATTTGCATATATTTAATGAGATAATATATTTGAGATAGTTGTAATTCCCTTATTATTGATCAGATATATTTCAAACTTTTACCATTCCGTCTATCTTTGTATCTGCTTTCATACAAATTAACTCCTTTCAAAGGTTTGATTGCCGTAGAAAAGTATTCACCATGGCAAACAGAAGGAAAGGGGGAGGGAGCAGGTGCAAGAACTGTAGTATACGCTGCAGGTAATATCTTTGACATGGAAAATGTTTTGTCTCCATAGAAACAAAAGGATCTCACAGCCGGCAAACTATAGCTTCTAAACTATTTGAGTAATAGTAAAGAAGTATAATGCCTCCCTCCCTCTGTCGCCCCGCCCCATTTGAAAATGGTTGCAATAGGTTCTGTGAAAACATTCAACGTCACCTTCAATATATTTTATTTCTGTTTATCTTTTAACTATTCACTGCTGCTCATGTAATAACATATCTGCTTAGCGCTTAGAAACTGGGACATTGCCAATGTATCAAGCGCTATATAAACAGAAACATTGTTATCATCATTATTATCAAAGGGACGACAAGATAAGTGAATAGCTAATCGTAACCATAGCTCAAGTGGTCAAAGTATCATTACAGGTAGGCAATCATTTTTCCTAGTTCAAATCTTCAAAGAATCATTATATATATATATATATATAGTCAAACCTGTCTAAAGCAACCACCCAAAGGAAGCACAACAAGTGGTCTTTGTAGACAGGTTCCTTTAGTACATGTTTCAATGAGAAAATATTTTCAAGGTAAACCAAAATTGTGGTCTTTGTAGACAGGTTCCTTTAGTACATGTTTCAATGAGAAAATATTTTCAAGGTAAACCAAAATTGTGGTCTTTGTAGACAGGTTCCTTAAGTACATGTTGCAATAAGAAACCGTTTTCAAGGGAAACCAAAATTGTGGTCTTTGTAGACAGTTGGTCACTAAAGCAGGTTTGACTGTACAATGACAGGTTAATCATACTCACATGTATTCTATCGTACCACAGAAGGTATGTGTCATAGATCCCTCTTCCAAAGACTCCTTACACAAACCAAAGTCGGTTAATACTACATGCCCTGGAGAAAAGAAGAAAAAAAAAGAAGGAATATGTATATGAAAATCAGGCCTGGGCCCCATTTCACAACACTATTCATTAGTGACAAATGACAGTTTTTGCTACTGGAATCCTTGCTTCTGATTGGTTATCAGCAGATTTGTCACTGATTTTTGTGATTTCTCGTTGAAAAAAGGCTCTGTGAAACAGGTCCTTGATCCAACCAAGGTACTTTCAAAAGTAGGATGTGAAACTTGACATAAGGGCATCAAAAATACATGGCAACACATTTAATTGGCATTGCATAATAGAGATGGGATGGACACATACGACTTAAGATAAGCTTGAGTTCTGGTAAAGATAGAAAATAAATTCTCACAGTAATTAACAAAATTTACACTGAATGTTCAAGATTACAAATAAATGACATGCACCAAATGATTTTGGTAGAAAATGTATAGGGGCTGGGTAATGAGCATAGAAAGATAAGGAAATCAAGGTAAGTAGGCCTGACACCATGTGCTTAACACAGGTCCCTATGTGCAAATGAGAGTTGTGGTTTTCATTGAAGATGATTTCTAGCAAGTTTTGTTTGTTTGTTTTTATGTTACTGGTTCAAACAATCAATCTGTAACCATGTTCTTTCGTTATACAATGACTCTTTGGACAATTACCAGCACAGCCTCTAGTACAATTATCCCCCCAAACAGCCACCTCGATGAAATTATCACTGAATAACTACACCCTGGGACAATCAACCCTTTGGAGAATTCCTCCATAATTTCTCCCATAAAATGACTCTAAATATCCCATCAGACAACTACTACTGGGGAAGAAGTGGGAAATGTCAAAAGGACTTGTTGCCCTAAAAGAAGTTGGCAAGTGTTTAAGCAAGACAAAGAGACAGAACGATAGAGAGAGATATATAGAAGGGGGTAGGTGAAGTGGGGAAGAAAGAGACATAATTTCTAACAAACGATGATTACCTTGTTTATTGAGCATGATATTCTCTGGTTTCAGATCCCTGTAGATGATGCCTAGTTTGTGTAGATGCTCTAATGCTAATACTATCTCTGATAGATAAAAACTGAAAACAAAAACAAAACAACAAATGTCAGTAATTAGTCCTAAACTACTTCAATATTTCAACATGATTCATAAGTTCAAATGAACTGAAACTGTAGAATCGAGTACTAATAATTGGGAGAATTTGTGTTTTTGTGACTACTATTTTTGTAAGCCAACTACTTTAACCTCCCTCCCACCCACATACATGTAGCCTTAATACAGGAATTCATTGCATAGACAATGGGTTCAGAAAGTTGCCTCATGTTGCTATATGCTGCAAAATTTCAACACAATGTAAACAAAACAAGATAATAAGTCAATCCTTGTATAAAAAAAAAAAATCAAGATGAACCGATATCTTCACAGGTGAAATAAACAAACATTTTAATATAAAATTTAAAGAACAAAATTAGCAGTTAGAAGCAATCCCCCCCCCCCCCTCGGAAACAAGAAACACACAAACCTACCATGCTGTATCTTCCATAAATATTCCTTCTCTTTCTAGATGCATAAATAACTCTCCACCTGCATGGGAGAAAACAAATTGAAAAATACATTTCATACCTTCCTCAAAATCAAATAACGGGTAAAACACATTACAGTCAATAAGCCTTTTGGTCTCTGATTCCATCGATTGTTGATTCTACAAAGATCAACTTGTGCCTACTCAAATAATACTGCTTTCAAACTGGCTTCTATCGGAGTCACACCGATGAAAGTACCGATTGAATTTTCCTTATGTAAACAAAGGTGAAACCGCAGTTTTCCCCGTCGCTTTCTAACTGCCGATGAAATTCCCTAACTGTGGTGAGCCCATGCCGGAAGTGAAGAATTATTGCGTAATTATTAAGCCCGTGCTCCATCTAGCTAGCATGCAGCATGTTCAACCATAAGTCAACAAACAAAGCTGGTTAAAAAGCGCGCGTACACTGCGACCTTTGACCATTTTAATCGCCTTTTTCTCCCGAACGCTTTCTAAATGGCCGTTTCATCGGTGTCACACCGATAGAATGAGAATTTCTCCTGCTCTTGAGCATGAGAATTTAATCGCCTATTTCTCTTCTTTTCATCGGCTATTTAATCGCCCTTTTCTCCTCTGTTGCTTTCTAACTGGCCGTTTCATCAGATGCGTCCGGTTGCATCCGATGAAAATCAGTGCAGTTAGAAAAGGGTATCAGTGTTTGTTCTTAAGTGTAAATTGGGACTGATACATGCATGTATCAATTCAACATTTTAAGACACTCAAGATTAAGGAACATGAAGCTACAAATATTAAGTACCTCTAGAGGTGTCACGTCTCTAAAATCCCCACCAAAATGATCTCATAATGAAGAAATAAAGTCATCCCCTTTACAACACTCCCCACTGACATAGAATGAGGTACAATTTTCTCCCTGTGTGGAAGGCATCGTGAAGATCAACGATGAAAGGATCCTGAATCGCTTTTAAGATACAACTGTTATCAAATAATAATGATAAGAATAGTGGATTCTTGTATAGCGCTCATGTCTGTCAGACTTGACACTCCTGCAATTATTACCCTGGCTGCCATTATGGCGCTCTAGCATTTCGAGGAATTAATTCCTGCCAGGTAACCATTTACATCACCTGGGTCAAGTGTGGCAAATGTAGATTAATGTCTTGCCAAAGGACATTAGAGCCGTGGCGGGACTTGAACCGCGGACCTTGTGATCCACAGTCCGGTGACGTATCCACTCAACCACGACATCTCTACAACTATGAATACGATTACGACCATGAGTACTTTTAGTGCTCAAAAAGGCCTCTAGGTCTTAGAGACTCACCACCGAGATAGGCGAGAATGAGGTACAGCTTCCCGCCCGTCTGGAAGGCATAGTGAAGATCAACAATGAACGGATGCTGAACAGCCTCCAGGATGTTACGCTCTGCCTTGGTGTGAGCCGTATCCTTCTGATTCCTGACGATCTTTGCCTGTCAAGAAGAGAAATATTAACATCATTCAATACCTGAGTATTTCTACCTTATACCCTGTCACTGTTCTATGCTGAAATGGTTGGTTGACAGTCACGTTGTTATATCAAGGTTTTAAATTGATTTTGTTTAGGGAAAACATGAGAGTAAGAACGTTGTGCATATAAATTATATCTATCATAAACTGTTGAAAAGCATATGAAAGTGCTGGGCAAAAGAGGATCTATTTTTAAATGTATGAAGACTGGAATATGTATGCTAAATTTCTTTATTCAAACTTTCTGAGGGGAAAAAAGTGTGTTAAGTTCTACATATATGCCTTGAACTGCTTGGAAAAAAAGCATGAAAAAAGTTTAATCAAAAGTACAGAGTTCAACATTCACAATTCAGAAAATGAGAAAGAGGTCAACATTTCATTTTGTTTCAATATCATTTATGGAGAAAAAAAATATATAAACCATATGTTTCAGAATTACATAACTTGTTTTGTTTGTAGTAGTACAAAGCAAATTTAAACATTTGGATTAACGAACCTTAGGAAAAAAAAGCTATAGCTATCATGTCAGTAGGAACAAACCTTACTCACCTTCTTTAAAACTTTCATTGCAAATATTTTTCCTGAATCTTTACCCGTCGTCTTCCGAACCTGGAAAACCTGTTGATATTTAAAAAAATCATAATACCATGCAACATGTTTTTTTTCATAATAAATTGAGGGTTTATTCATTAACAAGGGAAACGCTCTCGGCGGTCTCGCCTGCATAACACAATTCAATATGATAAACCAGAACTTCAATGACGTAGCACTCATCCGCATCTGCCAACAACAAATATCGTAAATTTTATGTGGTACACTTTTGAACTGGTCAAAAAATAAAAATTTGATGCCCTGGAAGGGACATAATTTCATTTCATTTGCATAAAGTACCATAAATAATCAATGGAGTAAAATCTCAAAATTCTGTGTAGAAGTTTAGTGTTCCAAATTTAGCTCTACCAGATAAGGCAAACCAAATCAAAATCTGTCAAGAAATGAGGGAGAAGAAGCAATTTTTGTTATTTTTGGAATAAATTTGCATAAATTACCATAATTAATTAATGGAGAACAATTTCAAAATTTGGTGTAGAAAGTTAGTGTACCAAAGTTAGCTTTACCAGAAAAAGCAAACCAAATCAAAATCAGTCGAGAAATGAAGGAGAAGAAGCATTTTTTGTGATTTCGAATAAATTTGCATAAATTAGCATAGATAATGAATTTCACGATTCTGTGTAGAAATTTTAAATCCCCCTCCTAGCCCTATCATATGAAACAATCAGAATCAAAATTGGTTGAAAAATAACGAAGAAGAAGCATTTTGAAAATCTTGATGTTGATGCCACAACAAAGTCTAAGTTTGTTGACCTTAAATGACCTTTGACCTTAACTTAGTGACCTGAAATTCTACTCACATGATTGGGGAGACTTGATAATCCTATAGTCAAAGTTTCATTGACTAAGAACCTATACTTTAAAAATTATATTAAAAATTCAAAAACTTAACCTTAGTTAATTTTTTGATGTTGACGCCGCCGCCGCCAGAAAAGCGGCGCCTATGTCTCGCTTTTTGCTACGCAGGCGAGACAAAAACCAGTAATTGACTTTGTCAAGTTCTATATTGAATAATCTGTATGGACTGGTGTATGTGCACATGCAAAGTACAAAGTCCTTTGTTGCCAGACTTGATGGCTCTAAGGTTCTTAGATGTACTGTACTCTGGTGCAATCTGAGCCATATTTTGAAGCATTTTCAAACAAAATTTATGACGCAATAGTTCATAAATAATATCTTGGTAGAGAAGGAATATTAACCTGTTGCTGCTACATGTTTAAACCCCCTGTGGACTGCCCTGATAAATTAGAAAGCTCTTTGAAAGAGAAAATTTTTGCTGGTGCCTGGTGACTAGTGGGACCTTAATTCAGTTTTTGCTAACAGGAACTAGACACTAGAACTGTGGTATTAGCATTTAGTTTTAACTGGTATCAAAAGCAAAACAAAGGCAATGCTCTTTATTTCATAAAAATGCACAAGAGCATTGTAAAAAGCTCTTATCTTTTAAGAGGTTATGACACAAGAGGACTGCGAAAGATCTTTAATCTTTCATCTTTAATCTCAGTTTTGATCCAAATAATATTTCCTTTTCAGTGTGCAAGTACTGTTGTTGATATACTGTATCGTTTCTATAATAATCATACACGGCTGTTATATTTGGATTACCATTCGTTGAGACTTCTTTTACATCTAGAAGAGAAGCTGATGCATTATGATGAAATGACCTATTACTAGTTATTCCACTGTCTAGATATATACATGTATATATACGCTGAGTGACTAAACCTATATTGAATTTGAATAAGATTTGAGTTACTATTATTTGGACAAGTCAAGTAAATTCCAAACTCGTTTTGACAAAGGATTACAAATCTCTTTCCTGGGCACCGTATCATAAAGATTTGTGATTTATCCAAATCAAAATCAAGTCCTTCAATCACTCACAAGTGTGCAGTCTCATATCTTTAATATGTACATGTGCATACACCAGTACTTGTACTTGTGATTAACATCAACTTGTACAATGTAATATCAGATAAACATGATAAAGCTGATATGTCAAATGAAGGGTATCAATCATAAAGAATTCCAAAGATCACACACAACAGAACAAATAGTGATTAGTCTTCCATCATTCATCATGACTTGCACATACTGTATTCCACTTCCGAAGAAGGACAACAGATCATTCCTTGAAAACTAGAAGGGTGCAGCTCTGCATGTATACCATACAGCAGGGGTTCTCAAACTTTTTCCTTGATGATCTACATGTAGTCCAGATATGATTTCCATGACAGCTATAAGTTCTGAAACATGGGATGCCATTTGCTTGAAAACTTCTTCGGGTCATTCGTATACGCGAAATGAAGAACAACAACTAATGATGTTACTACAGTATCAATTATTCAAATATTACTTGATCTACTGGTACTCCTAAATTTTATAGTAATGACACCTGTAAGTTATATACTGAAAAAAAAACTTTTTAAGGTTTATATCTGATCAAAGGGAAATTGTTACAGCTAAAAAAAAAATTAAGCAAAGCCTCCCGAGCAGTCCACATTGATATGCCCTGCACCGATGTGACCGCAGTCCGGACTTTGAGAAGCCCTGGAATAGAATATTAATTACACTGTAGTTCAGGTCCTTCTGAATCAAAGCAGACATTTATTACAATGTATACAAGTTTGGTACTCACCTTGCCATAGCCTCCCTTGCCTAGTACTTTGAGTAGCTGGAAATCTGTTGGTCCAACCTTCTCTGTGCCTGGATTCACCGTCTCCTCAGAGAGGGATACCTCCTCCACTTCAATCGACCTGCGAGATGGAACAGAGAGGGGTAAAGGTGTACAGTAGGTGACCACCTGTATACAGTAGCATGACCACCTGTCTACAAAGACCAGATTTTTTTGTTTCCCTTGAAAATAGTTTCTCATTGAAACATGTACATGTACTAAAGAAAACTGTACATAAAGACCACTTTTCTTGTCTCCCTCGGGTGGTCATTATAGACAGGTTTCACTGTACACACCTGTAGATGGTGTTGACTACACTGTAGGTATTAGGTCCATGAAGGGGGAGGGGGTAGCAGAGGAGGCGCGATAGCTCAGTTGGTAGAGCAGTGGTCTCGTAATCCAGTGACCCGGGTTCGAAACCAAGGCGATGCGCTAGTGCCCTTTGGTAAGGCATTAATCCACATTACCAGGTCCCTCGTAGAGGATCTAAAGCCATCGGCCGTCTTGTTGCTTACTTACAAATTGTACATGTACAAGCATTTATGCTTTCTTAGCAGTCAGGTAAAATAACCACCATCACCAACTATTATTCACCAACATGATACCTGGCTTGGTCGAGGGGGGGGGGGGTTACTACATGTGTATCAATGCTACTGGATAAGGGAAAGCTTTGTCATTTTTATGTGAGATCATCTTGGAATCCCCTTGGATACTTATGAAGAACCAGGAACCATTTTGGTCATTCATTCAAATCATCAAATCCAGTGTTATTACTGAGTACTGACAGATTAAATACAGAATGATACTTGATTAATTCTGTAGAGTTTTTTGCATTATTTTGGGTTTTTTTTTTTTTTTTTTTTTTTTTTTGTGTGCGTCTTTTAAGGGGGAATTTCTAGGCATCTGTGTGAAATACCCAATTTTCTAGACATACATGTAGCAATACAATTTTGTGGTATTCAACTCTAGTCTAAACAGTGAAAGGAAGTCACATTTCCCTCAAGAACTTTCAAAACACTATGTGGGTGAGTCATGTGACCTACATACATGTCATGTGACTCATGCCATACATACATAAACAGTGATCCAGTGAATTTAGAGCACTAGACTTTGTTCATGATTACATTGTAGATAAAGACAATGAAATGGGGCAAATGGGACCAGTAGTACATGTACATGTACACACAGACATTGTGTGTCCTGACAGGTTTTGTATCCGGACAGTTGATTTAAGACGGTACATGTAGATTTGAAGGAGTTTATATGCAATATTTCATAAATATTTCAAAGTCTTATATTATAATTAGACAATGTCAATTTATTAAAGCATTAATATTTATGACAGTTAGTGTTATTTGACGCACACATTACGTTAAATCCGAAGGCGAAAGTGATGTGTTTTTTCTTCAAACTTCTAATGTACATGTTGCTATCATGACTTAGTAGTTAGTACTATGAAAGTATCGACTCAAATCTGACCTACACATGATCCCTGCATTTGCTTTTAATTATGCAAAATATCTTGAAAGTTTCAACATGAGGAAGTAACCTTAGCTGATCAGGATAATGCTACTGTATGTATGTCAGAGTGTCAGGATTCAGGATGTGTAGGAACATGTAGGCACTAGCATCATGGTCAAGGCTGGGAGGAGGGGGCATAAGGGAGGGGGTTCTATCATCTTCTTTGCATGTTTATTTCCCCTCTCCCTTTCAAGAAAAAAATACTTTAATCATTTTTGGGGCTACTTTTAAAGCTTGATTGCATAACAATAACACTCTTTAATTTGTTTTGCATTGAACTCTATACAAATTTTGGGGGCTCTTTTATGACTTTTGGGGGCTTGTTCGCCCCAAGCCCCCGTGTATTTTTTTCATTGCTTCCTTTCCTCAAATCTGCTATTCTTAATCCTCTTTTGTTTTCTTAATATATGCCATTGGGGGACTGGAGACCCTCCACTGTGCCTCTATTGCTATGCATTGACATGTAGAATAGCAGGATTTTTTTTCTTCATTCATTATTTCATTTGTTTTCATATTTAAAAAAAAAATGACTGAAGGGTTATTATTACTATTAGTACCACGTCTACATGTCAGTGTGAATTCAATAACAAAAGTATTAACAAGATTAATGACCTAATTAAACTTGAATGCTGGTCCAATCAACATGTACACTGTACTGTGATTAGAGAAACAGCCATTTCAATCTTGCCTCAATGTAGGAAGACATTCAAGACAACACATATTAATGTAACATCTGATTTACATCACAAACTGAATAATACACCGCACATCATCTCCATTCTCTTCATCTACATTGTAAATTGAAATATAAAGTACATCAACAGTTACATGTATACATGTGATAATTGTTTCTCATGAACATTGGAATTTAAATGCATTTTTGCTCCCTCTTTTTATTTGATCTTTTCGTCCAATAATTTTGTCTTTTCTTCCAAATACAACTGTATCAAGCTCATTACTAGATTTTTTTGAATGAACAATTGGACCAAAGACTTTGAACAAACACAAAATTAAAGTGATCTCATTTAACATAGATTATGTGTATTGAGCAGAAAGATCCCTTTTATGTGAAGCCATACAATGTACATGTAGATACAATGTAGTATGAATCCCATGTCCTAACTACATGTACTGTACATAGCAAACTTAAAGATGAAGTTGAGTTCTGGTCATGCGATTGCATTGTGAAAGAAACGGTGTGGAACCGACCAGAAAAGGTTGATCATCTAGCATATAAGAATTTGTGTGTATTGCAAGGTTCTGGAATCATCAAAATGATAAGAAATTTGGCCAAGTCTTGGTAAAGTTACAAACACTTGCACAGAAAGATGTATATGGGACTACATGAACAGGTGGCGTAAAAAGCCTGCCCCCCGATTTTTACAATGTTACATGCATATTTAGAATATGAAGGCATTTGAAGAGCCATGATTTTCAGGGAACATGTCTTAAATGATGTTCTTCCACACTTGCATAATAAGAATGAGTAATGCTCACAAATTATTTTTCACCTCTTCCCAGAACTCAACCTTCTCTTTAAAGAAGAGGTTGAATTCTGGGGAGAGGTGAAAAATAATTTGTGAGCATTATCATTGTCATTGTTATTATGCAAGAGTGGAAGAACATCAGAACATCAGAAAAGCATGGCTCTTCAAATGCCTTCATATTTTAAATATGACAAGTAGGTAACAGCTTTAATAAAAATGAAGCCTGATTTTTATGCCACATGTTTGTGTAGTCCCATATACATCTTTCTATGTACAGTGCTTGTTACCTGTACTTTACCAAGACTATGCCATTATTTTTTTCTCATTGTGATGAGTACAGAACTTTACAGAACAAACCAATACTTATATGCTATATGGTCCACGTTTTCTGATCGATTCTACACCGTTTCTTTCACAATGCAATCGCATGAAGAGAACTCAACTTTGTCTTTTAAAGTTTTAATACTTACTCATAAGCTCCATCAGCCAGGTAGCTGTCACCCTGTTAATATAAAATATAGACAAAGCAACATTTAAAAAAGTATGCATAGTTCAATCACCAAAAGGTAATATAAAAATATAAAAGAGCACAACAACTCATTTATAAAACTCATTTATGAATTATGAAGTATGGTAATCATATTTTAATTGACCGGGAAAAATCCCTGAAGAGCAAGGTTATACAGACTTTTCCATGAAATGTGGCCTTAAATGGAAGTATCAAATTTGCTTCAAATGCTACAGTCCGGTCCATGGCCGGGGAAATGAACCATAACCTCAGTTACTATGAGGTACATGTACATACCCATGACTGCGTTTCCAGGGCCAGGGCCCCCATTTCACAAAACTTGTCATCAGCGACAAATGATAGTTTTTCTTGTAAGCTAGTAAAATCCTTGCTCCTGGTTATCTGCAGATTTGTCACTGATTTTTGTCATTTGTCATTAAAAAAAAAAAGGCTTTGTGAAACGGGTCCCAGATAGGTTGATTATTTTGACATATCATTCTCGACTGAATCAAACAATATTCAACTTTGCATGCAATATTCAATTATTAATTAAATGTGTCCATTGAATTGACAGACAATGTCAATAATATTTAAGGAAAAAGTCATATCACTTAAATAAAACTATTAGATCTAGACTTTCTAGTCTAACTCTAAGCATGTTTTATTAAAAACATTAAATAACTCTTCTGTGTCTAGACTCTGGAACCCCCCCCCCCTACACCAAGACCCCTTAAAATCATTGCCCATTGCCATTATTTAATAACAGTCACCGTCACAACAGTGACACATTAACATGAGGGGCGCTGGTCCGAGAATGAGGATACAAGGATACATGTATGTATCCTTGTCAACGAGGAAAAATTGCGATCTTAAAAAAAATAAGTATCGTTGTTTTTTTTCATTAGCGCTCTGCGGGTTCTGCGCAAGAAAATAACCCCAGTTCACCATCTACATTAAGTTGTCTGTCTTCCTGAGGATTAATCGCTTATATAACGTGAAAGTCTCTGTACAAAGTAAATGTAAAATGCATCAAGAAAATCATCGGTATCCGTTTTTCGCACTGTCAACGCGCGGATCAGAAATATGAAACGTCTGCAAAATTGCGGACGATCCCTATTTTTGCGGACGGGTCTGTCCACATTTACGTAGATCATAGATGATCCTTGTTTATGCAGACGATCCTTATTCTCAGACCGGCGCCCCTACTGATTAAATGGTTTACTTTAAAGACAGTTTCTCATTCCAAATTTTCACAAATGACCTCATAGTCTGTGGCACATGATTGACATTCCACAACTTGTTTTACTTTTAGGTAGATCTATAGACTTTATTCCTTTCTAGATCTACTTCTAGATCCTTTTACTAGTTTAAGGCACATTCAAGTTTGCATCAATAAGAATTTTAGTCAAGGTCGAGTCGAAAAAACAATTAACTTGACAAAAAGTGAGACATCATACAAAACAGTTGTCCAGCTGTCCGAGCAGCGCAACCGACCGGAGTCGCTAGCACGTAGCACGGGCATCTGTACACTGGAGTACCGCGTGAACTTCGCTCACCTCCGCACCCTCATCCTGCATGTCATCGCTGTCACTCAGGCACTCGTTTGCCTTCTCATCATGCTCACATAACTCCAAATCAAACACGCCGGCGTGTCCTGCCATCATGGTCTTCCAAGCTTTGATTCTCAGCCAGCAGATACGTCACCAAATGTGGGGTTTATAGAGGAACATCTGCCACACAAATCCGACATTGCCCGCTCCGTAAGCTTCGGAGATTGTAAATCACAAGAATGAATGAACTTCCACCCGGCCCGGTGAATTCCCGGAAGAAAATGGCGCATTACCGGTGAATATGTTTCGTAGGACGGAAAAGGGCGTAGTTTTAATCCAGGTGTAAAGTATTTTTTTATTCACTTAAACCTCTTTTTGGAAAGCATCCAGAATAAAGCACTTTAGTCATGATTAGATTTTCTAAAAATAATAAAACAAAAAAGAAGAAATATATAAATAAAAATTTAGTATTTATTTAAAAAAGCCGAATATTGCGTAGTCTACTCTTACCCAGGTCTGACAGTGAGCCTATAATGATGAACGTCTCTTCTAGATCTTTGCAATTGATTATGATAAGGCAACATTTATATGACGCCATATTTCTGTTTGAAACATGTCTCAAAATCATCTTAATCTTTCCTCAAAGGTTGGTTCCATATTGTTGAAACAATACTCTAACTTGGCTCTTACATGAAGAGTCCTGATCAAGGGAACAATTACATCGAGTTGGTGGAGTCCGACAGAGTTCTCGAACTCTTTTTAGCTGCAATGCGTGATTGCTACCCCCCCCCCCCCCCACTTCTTTGTATCCAAGTTAATAATTTATAACATAAAGGTATAACTGATAAGTGTAAAAAGAACCGTACATGTAGGCCCTGAGTAGAAATTTAAGTAGAATTTAATATCCATTAATAACTGTGTTGCATAATAATTGATTATAATAACTATATTTATAACAAAATAATGAAGTGTTGATTTTCATTAATAATCATTGTAATAATTCAGTCTCTGTTCGTTGATATAATTAGCTACCGCTATGACTCTAACCATTCCCTGTCAAGGTGGACTTCTGCCCTCCTCTTCAAATATATACCCTCTCCCTGTATTCTTCACTCCTTTCTTTCGCTTTCCCCATTTTTACTTCCGTCCCCGGACTTTCTTATATACCAATACACAAATACACTTTGGGCGACCTTCCACGCAAGCCGCCGTAAGTGGCGCTACAGTTGGGGGGCAGCTAGAGTACCTATATATAGAGAGTAGCGACAACTTGCGCATAGACGCCATTTTGTTTCACTCGCCCGGTCTACCGCGCGCGCGCGCAGTGCATGTATTAGTCCATGGGCCAGACCATGGCAGATATTGGTACCACCAGAGGTGGCAAAACCTTTGTACTTTTTTTTTGTTTGTTGGGCATATATACGTGTAAAAAGTTATGATAGCATTTCCGAATGGACAGCTTAGTCGTATAATCAGCAGTTTCCATGGCAACACAACAATCAAACCGGTATTATTCAAAGAAACAGTTAAAGTCATTTACAAATTATAAAAACACTCTTGAATGCGTAAAAATGTACAGTTTAGAATACCTCACCATAAAGGAAAGTAATGAAATGCAAATTACATTACCATTTATAACGGTTGCCATGGTAACGACCCCAGAATAGCCCAAAATCAAGGATTTTGGAGTAATTTCAGTATTATATTACACAATATGCTGATTCAAGACAAGTTAAAGTCTCCTTACCAAATTATTGAAAAACTATATGACTAATCTATCATATAAGCCAAGAATATGTTATATAGTACCTTCCCATTGTTACCATGGCAACATGAATTAGAGTTAACAAGATGCCCTGTAGGGTACGATATGCCATATTTTGGCTATATCTTGGGATAGGAGAGGTGTTGAAAGTTCATTTTGATGTCTATACCCAGGTTTTCAGGCACAGGGAACACAGCTAAAGCATTATTTTGAACATTAACATAGGACATCACCGCTATTTTTCATACATTTGCATAAAATCAGAGCAAAATGACCATGAAAGTATTCTGCCACTGCATATTACAAGCTGTTTCTTAGGGTTTAGAAAGATATAACATTGTGATGACTACATTAGATGCCAGAAAACTTCATTTGATTGTATGCAATGCTGGAACCAGCACAGATCATCCATCTCATTAATTTGTTTGCTATTGTATCAAAACCCAGACACCCTCTCTAAATGCCCAAACCAGACCTACCATAACCTCGACGATATCCACATAATTATGACATCCAAAAGGCCGAGAGGGTCCGATTCTCCTGTATCGGGTAATCAAGGTAGACATCAAACAGCTTGAAGATGGGCTCAAAGGACTGATTCTCAATCATCTCACTTACGCAACATCTTCAGATAGGCTGTTCACGACTCTTGAGGCTTTCATCCAGGTGAACCTGGTCGTTAGTGTGGTTAGTTTCTAGACAGGGTAGTAAACCTTTCCTTATGCCTGTCGCATAAATGCCTCGTACAACAACTTGACTGCACGGTTGTACTTGCAGAATTCCATCACTCCAGCTACGGAGCTTATAGCGATGACACCTGACTCTACACATAGGTCCCTTAGTCCAGCATCTTGAAACATCTTCTCAATGGGTGACCACAGTGTGCATAACATGCCAAGAGATATACATCCCAGGGTCTTCACAGTTTTGATACAATAGCAAACAAATGGTCATTAATGAGATGAATCTGTGCTGGTTCCAGCATTGCATACAATCAAATGAAGTTTTCTGGCATCTAATGTAGTCATCACAATGTTATATCTTTCTAAACCCTAAGAAACAGCTTGTAATATGCAGTGGCAGAATACTTTCATGGTCATTTTGCTCTGATTTTATGCAAATGTATGAAAAATAGCGGTGATGTCCTATGTTAATGTTCAAAATAATGCTTTAGCTGTGTTCCCTGTGCCTGAAAACCTGGGTATAGACACCAAAATGAACTTTCAACACCTCTCCTATCCCAAAATATAGCCAAAATATTGCATATAGTACCGTACAGGGCATCTTGTTAACTCTAATTCATGTTGCCATGGTAACAATGGGAAGGTACTATTACATATTCTTGGCTTATATGATGTATTAGTCATTATATTTTTTCAATAATTTGGAAAGGGGATTTAAACTTGTCTTGAATGGGCATATTGTCTAACATATTACTGAAATTACTCCAAAATCCTTGATTTTAGGCTATTCTGGGGTCGTTACCATGGCAACCGTTATAAATGGTGTTGTAATTTGCATTTCATTGCTTTTCTTCATGGTGAGGTATTCTAAACTTTCATTCTCTGGGCCTGAAAACCTGGATATAGACACCAAAATGAACTTTCAACACCTCTCCAATGCCAAAATATAGCCAAAATATGGCATATAGTACCGTACAGGGCATCTTGTTAACTCTAATTCATGTTGCCATGGTAATAATGGGAAGGTACTATATATAGCATATTCTTGGCTTATATGATGTATTAGTCATATAGTTGTGTCATTATTTTGGAAAGGGGACTTTAACTTGTCTTGAATGAGTATATTGTGTAATATATTACTGAAATTACTCAAAAATCCTTGATTTTAGGCCATTCTGAGGTCGTTACCATGGTAACCGTTATAATTGGTGATGTAAATTGCATTTCATTACTTTCCTTTATGGTGAGGTATTCTAAACTGTACATTTTTACGCATTCAAGAGTGTTTTTATAATTTGTTAATGACTTTAACTGTTTCTTTGAATAATACTGGTTTTATTGTTGTGTTGCCATGGAAACTGCTGATTATATGACTAAGCTGTCCATTCGGAAATGCTATCATATCAAAATATTATGTATAGATATAGGACATTTCAAAATCCATAAGTAGATCTTGCCACCTTGAGTGGTACCAATAACCCAAATTTCTGGTCTTGGCCCATGGACTAATAGCGCTGCGCTGCGCTGCGGAGTGAAACAAAATGGCGCCAGGAGTCACGTGACCATCAAATTCCGGTCCCCCTATGTCGCTACTCTCTATATATAGGTACTCTAGGGGCAGCTGGGGGGCTTCTGGATAGCACCTGAATGGGAAAGTTGAATGAGCGAGAGCTCGTTCGTACTTAGGCCCGCATCTACTGGCGGTGTGGTGAGAGTGCCTCCGTACCGTAAGATCGAACTCACAACTCTGCTCCAGCTAGCTAAAATTCCTTGAATTATTTATATTCTAACTCTAAATCATTCCGTCTCTCACTCTCTTCAATTCAATAAAATCATCTGCATGTTAACATACACGATAATGAATATGTGGGACACCGTTACAACGGCGTCTCCCAAACTTCGATTGCCGAAAACGCACGCAAAACTCGCCAATGACGGACATCATCTACCCATTCATCCATCGTAAATGAAATAAATTTAGACAAAATGAAGTTGAAATGTCCGAAAGCGGCAAGGAATAATAAGTGGTTTGTCTGTGAGAAAGCAATGATCGTTGCATGCAAGATGAAAGCGCAAGCTGATAGAAGCCCCCCAGCGTGTAATGATAAACGTAGAGGGCTCACATCCATGAAAATTCGCCCGTATCGGTGTATACCAATCGAAAGCATATCACCCCCCTCTCTCTCTCTCTCTCTCTCTCTCTCTCTCTATCTCTCTCATACACCCCTCTAGTCTATACTGCCCTCGGTCATCAATATACTCCACTTTATATATTACCAAATCATTCTCAGATGCCATACAAAAAAAAAAAAACATGTTTCTGATTGAATTAATATTTCTGAAATGTTAATTACCTCATCATCTCATCAAACCATGTATCATAACGACTGTATGTTTTATGTTTGTATGTTATGCCCTACTTTCGGGCAAATCCATTGTCTTGGGCAATGTATGCTATATCATAATTATGCCTGTATAATTATCCTCTATTTCTACCACTGTCTACTTTGGAATAAATGCATTACTCGATATGACTGTATAAGTGTATATTTAGCATGACTATAATATGTATTTAAAAATAATTAGTAAGAAATGGGCTCCTGTGGATGTTCAGCCGGATTAAATTTCAGGATCTTGCAAATAGAACGTTCGCTTCCAAATTATACTGTATATAATTACTTGCCCAACCTAAATTCTGGAGATGAATTAACATTATTCTTAGTTCGCCAAAGTTTCGAAATAGCAGTAGTATATATTAGAAGGCATATTTCGATTGTCTGACTGATTACCAAAAGTACTTAGAGGTCGATTGTGCCAATATAAATTACAGGTTTAATTCTATTAGGCCCTATTTTTTTCTCGAGAGATCGAGCCACCGTTTAAAGAAAGGACAATGATATAGGCCTATTAGAGTGATCCTATATGCAAAAGAAATATGCAATCTTCGAAAGAAAGTTTTCCACTGTAGATGGCAACTCTAGTCTTGTTGTAGATTGGAAACAACGAGGGGGTGTCGCTAAAGACGATGTGAATGTGGGTGTGTGACATTCCCCCTCCCCCTAAGCGCCTATACATTTCGAAGTGTCTGTCGGCATTATATGGATCTCTTTAGCAATGTCGCAAAAATATCATAATACTTTGTCCTTTTCTTCTTCTTTTTTTTTTGGGGGGGGGTATTTTGTTGTTGTATCATTTTCCGACAAATCCCACCACGCCCTCATTCAAAATGGACTATGGACGTCCCTGTATAGACAATTGGGACAGGAAAGGAAAAACAGAAAGTTAAATTTGATATTTGTTTCTCATTTTTATTTTACAAGAGACGAAACAACTACGGGCTTGAGACATAATATATATACCGAAACTATAATCAGATTATATATATTTTCCAGCTTCCTTTTAATGTTTGCTTCTAAACGATTATATATAAATAAAAAGAGAAAACAGAAACAAGTATTTATCGTGGTGACATTAACGATCCCCACAGCGATTGTAATCTGATTTAATTGTAATACTAGTCCTCCTATTCTCTTGGCAAGTTTTGCTATAAATACAATTCCTTCTCATTATTATCATCATTCATTTGCATTGTTTGTACTAATCTATTGATATCGAACGATTTTCACTCCAATTTGCCTTCCACCACCAGAACTAAATTCCAAACAACTATAATATACCCAAACGATTGTTGCTGGTATTCATTTGTCAATGAAGTGGTGTTTAATTTGAATAATTTATACGCGATTTCAATAATATATCCCAAATCATGTTCGGATTACATAACACGTCAATGCCATGTTCTCGCATGCACATTTCAAAAATTGATGGACATTGACTTTTACAAAAAAACAAACATCTGTGAATGTGTTGAGACAAAGAAATGGGGAAAGAAAGGGGGAAGAGAGACAGAGAAAGGAGTCGGAGAGAGAAAGAGAGAGAACGAGGGAAAAAGAGGGGGAAGAGGGAGGGGAAGAGCGAGAGAGAGAGAGAGAGAGAGAGAGAGAGAAAGAGGGAAGAGAGGGAGGGGAAGAGAGAGAGAGAGAGAGAAAGAGAGAAAGAGAGAGAGAGAGAGAGAGAGAGAGAGAGGGGGGGGGGGGGAGTGGGGGAGTGGGGGAGGGGGTTCTACACGACGAGTGAGAGAAAATGAACCAAGTTGTAAATTGTACAGATGACATTTATTTCAGTGACGTTTCCGCCCGTATAGGCACACCGTGGAATGCAGTGACAAAATTAATGATATTAAAACATTTCCTTTTATTGCTGGCACCTATTCGAAACATTCATATCATAATTATTAATGAAATACACAATTTCTTTTTGGGTTGCTAATTCGAAACAGTGCTTTAAAAAAAATGCCACCACAACGCAAAATGAAGTAAAGAACATCCTTGGCATTAACGGACAAAGCAGGAAATCAGAATAACTAACCACTTTTATAGGATAATCGAAGTGCCCTCACGTCAAATTGAAGAACGAGAGACCGCCCCCTCCATCTTTACCTTTGGAAAGATAGGCTGTACACATTTGTTTAATAATCAAAATCCAGTGACTTAAATTGAAATTTGACCAAATACAAAAAATAATAAAATTAGTTGCCAAAAATGAATCTTCCCTTTCATTTTGGTATGACGACATAAGTAACTACATTCTCAAAAAAGGCTTTAAATATTTATTTTATTTTTTAACTCCCGCATTTTCCCCGCACATAGCGAAAAAGAGAATGACATCACTCAGTTCTGACTGCAGTGCTTTATTACATACCAGCAATTTTCATCGTTATCTGAATACCCGATAACAAATGATTTATTACTAGATTTGTGAATATGAAAGTTTCAGAGAAAATGCATGGGGGTATATAATTTAAAGAGCTTTCTCTTGAAAAGCTAAAAAAAATCCGTAAACAATTTATTCCATGCCTTTCATCCTACAGTACTTCACTGACAACAATAGGCCTAACATGTAATTATGTGATATTCTTTAAAGGGCCAACAAAAACGAAAAGGTTAAATTCCAACAGCATTAGAAAGATAATGCTAATGTAGAACTTCCTTCAAAACGAAAGGGCTTGAAAATATCTTTTAGTGGGAAAATAACGAGCATTGGTTGTCGAATCGACTTTAGTAATTGCAATCATTTTAGTAATAGTCTGATTTTCAGAAACTTGTACCAAATGCCTAAAGATTCAATCAGTTTAATTTGGGCCATTACAAGAAGTGCCTAATTGATGTAGACGAATACTCATGTGCCTTTGCAGCTCATTGTATGTAACATATATGTTATTACCAAAGAAAAAAAGTCAGTCAGTAACTCAATATTGTGTGACAGTGGAGTCTAGAAAGTAAACGGGTTTCCTTGCATAATTTGAATAATAGGACACTGCTAACGTTTAAATTTCACAGATAGGACATACATTACATATTCATAATTCCTGCAGAGTTCTACAGAATTTGACGTTGGCTGCAAATGGGACATAGCACTTTTAACATAATGTTTAATACTGTCAAGTAGAATAAATCGAATATTGATACAAACTAAAGACACATTATACGATCTGCTAAATCGAATTTGCGTTTATGATACAATTTAAAAAGCATAACCATGATAACTATTCATATTCAGTAACAAGGATCTTCAAAATGTACATTATGACGTAAAAGTTATAATAGTGCAGTGAGCTTGTAATGAAATATGACAATAATAGTGTGTTTGATACGGGATTCAACCAGGTGGTGTATAAGATTTCGTTGGCACAAAGCAAGAAAACGAATCAATCAACCATAACGTACCAGTTGCGGATCCAGGGAGTGGTAGGGGACACGTGCCCCCCGACCACAATTTGCCTCATAATGAATAGAATACACGCTTGTTCTCCTGATGTGCCTCTCAAGAAAAATTGATAACTTTCCTTCCTTCGCTTGTCAAGAACTCTTGAACACCCGGAAATAAATTAAAAGAGCTATTTTTATTCCTACGTTTTAATCTATTCAACTACTGCAATCATCTTTGGAAAACGTTATTTAATTGTTACCGTCATCTATTAAAAAAATCTATGAAAACAAAAAAGAAGACGGAAATACAACAGACGGAGTTTTTTTTTTAGTACTTCATGCCTTTATGTAGTCTTGCAGGTACATAATTATAATGCTTTTTGTCGACGAAAAGATAACAATAAAAACTAAAAGGCTGCTTAACAAGTGAGAATTTAAAAAACAAGTGAAGTCAGTGTCTGGTATGAATAGGAAACCCAAACTTAATCGAAAATAAAGGAAAGCAGAAAAATAAAATCTAGAGGAACAATCAAATCGGTACAATTTTGAGGGAAAAAAAATCGAAGAAAGAAATGGGGGTAAGAGGACACTTTTTTTTTTTTTTTTTTGGTCTCGAAATTTGGAAATTTGACATTTTGCTCCGTTGGGGGGGGGTAAGGTCACCTTTTTTAGGTCGGCCATGGGAATAATTTTTTTTTTTTTTTTTTTTTTTTTTTATAATTAAAAAAAAAAAAAAAAAAAAAAAAAATCCAAAAGGGGGGGGTTTTTAGGTTTTTTTTAGGGGGGTTTACACACAAAAAATTTCCAAAGGGGGGGGTTTAACCCCCAAACCCCCCCCCCCCCCTGCGTACGCGCCTGTCTCATAGTATATACATCACTGTAGGGACAGATGAATAATACCTTTCTTTATCCTCGCTCATGAATTCTGCTTGTCAATAAATCTTATTGTCGCATAGATTTGCGTATCATTGCACATTGACTCCTCGTTACATTTTAAATCAAATATTATAGGTGCTAAATGGATACAGATCGTGTGACATGGTGTACTGTGACAAGTGACATGTGACAGACCATGTGACATGATGTGAATTATATCAATAGACCTAAATACAGTCGTGAGTTAAAAAGGAAAATCCGTCAATTTAAACCACCGTAAACATTCATTTTTAGGAGTATCGAAAAATGCAAGTGTCCCATTTAGCAACTACATAGAGTTATCCCTCGTCGCTGGACCATAAGATCTGCTTTCTAAACTAGGTGGTCCGCCATATTTCACCAATCGTCCGCACGTCAGCGTTCTCTTGAAAACCTTTCGAAATGATTTCATAGTAAAGAGATAGATAAATGAATTCATACAACTATTGGTGAAGAGAAGAGCCGTGAAGAAGGCGTTGTCAGTTCCCAAAAGACAGTCACCATTTGATGTAGTCATTTTGTAACTATCATAAACAAACTCTGGAGCACAACACAAGTAAAAGGTTAGGACGATTAAAAGTAGAATTGTTATGCCTTTGATGTTGCGCTGTTTGCGGGTTTGCGGAGAGCCGCCATTGAACAAGTTCGTCTGTTTCTTGATGCGGCGCTTGTGATCGAGTACGATCAGCAGAAGACACATGTTAGTGAAGGTAATGATGATGGTGACGATGCTGGGGATGAAGAGATAAATAACGATGTATCCGTGGTAGATGTGATTGCAATTACTGACTTGAAAATAGCAAAATGGTTCGCCCGTTATCTTATGAATGATATAGCTGTATAGGTAACCAACAAACGCCTGCAACGCTCCGACAATGAACACGACGACGAGAGCGATGACCATTTTGCGACGAGTGACCTCCTTGTATCTGTAGGGCATAGCAATAAGTAGATACCGATTGAGGCTAACACATCCCAGGATGAGTAAGGAATAATTGATACAAATGACGCTTAGAATGGACTTAATTTCGGTATAAAGTACGAGTGCATCGCCTGCTGACCAATGAACGATGATGTCCACAAATTTCCCACCACTTCCAAAGATTCCCGTAAGGAGATCCACCAGCGCGAGTGCCCGATACAAGAACACGGTGTTGGCTCCGAGCTCAGCCGTGACGTGCGGCAAGGCGAAGAGGTTCCCGACGTTGCTAACCACGATGACCAGACTCATGAGACCGTAAAAGATAGCCAGGATGATGTCGGACGATGTCGGCCATGGTTCAACGTGGTCAGTCGTGTTTGAAATGTTCGCTCTAGAGGTCAGGCAATCGTAAAAGACACTCATATTTCTTCTTCAACCCTGTCTAAATGCTTGTTTTCAAATCTAGGTTTCAGGATATGAGCGCATATACTGACGTTCACATGGAGACTCAAGCATTAATACTGAGCTCACCGATTCATCATCATTAAAATATGATCAGTTGTACATACAACGCATTTCTGACGGTTGCGCACACGAATGAGTTGGGCTCAGTTATAGGCCTGTGTTCTTCTCAGGGAAACAAAATCTGCGATATTTCACTGTTCTTACAATTTGTCGTGCAGCTACGCATCACTTTACAATATCATCCCTTACTATCAAATCATTCAATTGCGAAACAAGATTGGTGAAGATCACTATTGTCTTGACAAAATGCTGACGAGATAATAGTTGCTGCATCATCGGTTGTTGATTGATATGCACTCGAAGCTACTTTCACTCTCTTACAACTCCTTCGTACAATAAAACGTAGCGAAACCATGATTATCATTTATCATATAATTTGATATTTCCTTTAGCCTGGATGGAGTTCAAAGTCTGTGAAAGACAAGACATTTGTGCTGCACGACAATCGTAGGTCATTTGTTCGATAAACGCATTGTCATGGTCACGAAGACGAAGGACTACATTATTCTCCACATTTTAAAATGGTATGTCTGGTAAATCTACACGGTAAAAACGATGTTTAAAAAAGTGATGTTCACTTACAGTTGTACACTATCTTAAACAACAGTTGAACAAATTGTAAACAACGTTGCTCGAAACGAAAGTAGTTTTGTTTTAGACAGTGTTGTTTACATTTGACGTCATGTGTCTCGTGCCAGTAAAGTGCCCGTTGGCTAAAAGCTTTATTTCACATTGTTATGTTTAGAAACAGGTTCCTTGAAACTAACATGCAATTGAAAATTAACATGCCACTTATAAATGTAGTGCAGCTGTTTAGGCACAGCTCATTGTTATTCATATTAGATGCATACACAAGTATGCAAGGCCCGATGCAAGGGTCTTCTGTTGACTACACAGATTGATACATATGTAAAAGCACAGGGATATTGAGTCTGGATTAAACTACCAAAGCAACCACACGTGTTTCTGCAGGCTCCATTTTGTTTGTCTCTAAACTTACATTTATTTAGCTTAATAGTTATTACTTTCCAACCCACAACACAACACATCATGGCCGACCAAGCTACCGACGCGCTTCTAAGTGACTGCAGGGATTCAGTGGCTTAATTGAAATCACTTTTCTATTAACCAATTTGAAGTTTTTAACTTATAGCGTAAGTTCACAGTTAAAATTTTCAGTATCTGTACGCAAATGTCAGAATATAGGTAGACTTAAAATCGTCGCGTCATGCAGTGCGGCACTGATCGCGCACTCGGTTATAGATCGTGTGCTAAATTCCTTGCCATAGAGATTGCATGCGTCCCTAGATATGCAGTTTATACGTGCGTGCATGCGCGCTCATGCAAAATGGGCACTGTTTTGGCGCTAATTCATGAATTGCAGAATTACCCTACCATATTGTTAGTCTTCATATACCTATAATATAGAGACCCAGAAGTAGTGGTGCACTTATTCAGAGTATTAAACCCAAATTATACCCCATTATACAACCCTTTTGGTGTAAACAACCCCCACTGAACAACAGCTCCTTTTTAAACAACTTTCTTTAAACAACCCAGTTGGTGTAAACAACCCCCACTGAACAACAGCTACTTTTTAAACATCTTTTTCTTTAAACAACCCAGTTGCTGTAAACAACCCCCACTGAACAACAGCTCCTTTTTTAAACAACTTTCTTTAAACAACCCAGTTGGTGTAAACAACCCCCACTGAACAACAGCTCCTTTTTAAACAACCGTCTTTAAACAACATCAGTTGTTTAAATTGTGATTTTAAACAAGTTGTTCAAAATGTTGATCAACTAAGTGTTTAAACTTTAAACAACTCGAGATGCTTAACATTTTAAACAACTTTCAGATCAGGTCACCCGTTAATCAAGAGTTGTTTAAACTTTTAAACAACTTGTTCACAAAAATTTTAACTGTGTATAAAGTATTGTGTTTTCACTAGAAATTCCACTCGATGATCGAAATACCTTTTAATCAGTGACGTCACCAATCCAAGCCCCCGGGGGTGCGGGGATGAGCAGGTGGGGGGGGGGGCAGTGATGAAAAGAAGAATGAAGATCAGATGAGCAGAGGGACAGTGAGAAGGGAGCCGGATGATAGGTGTTGGCCGGGTTTTGCCAGTTATCTATTCACTACAAGTTAAACTACTGTTGACGATGAACTAGAATATTATCGTCAAATAGATATAATCGGAAATCGGCAATACGTCAAGCATCATGTTTAATTGATTGAATGATTAATTGATGCACAGCATTTATGGCGCTATATTTCTGTTTAAAAACATTCTAATGCGCAGACTACTCAACACTGTATACAGAAGTCAGCACAAATCATAATGCATGAAACGATAGGCCCTCATATCTTTTCGATATGATACATTTTTAAAAGTGAACTGCATTTAGATAAAATAAGATCAAATGCGCTTCAACATTTTTACTCCAGGATTTTAACTAATCAGGGGCAGATCCAAGATTTTCCAGGGGGGGGGGGGAGGGGCGTGAAATGGTCAAAATGGCGAGGGCTCCTAAAAATGTTGAACCTTAGCTGCTCTATAGGGCTCTATGGCAGGCGCGGATCCAGGATTTCTTAGGGGAGGGGGCCCAACTTTTTTTTTTTAGCTCCCGGAAATTTGAACATCGCGCTGGCCGAAAAGTCGCTCAGTGGGGGGAGGGGGGGGGGGGGGGGGGGGGGGGGGGGGTTGTACAGAGCACATTTTTTTTTTTTTTTTTGCTCCCGAAAATTTGAAAAACGCGCCGGCCAAAAAAGGGGGGGGGGGGGGGGTAGTGAGCACATTTTTTTTTTTTTGATCCTCAAAAAAATTTCAATTTGCCCCCGGGCCCCCCCCCCCCCCCCCTGGATCCGCCACTGCTCTATGGTACATTCTGAGGCATTTATGAATGCGTAAACTGAAAATTTGGGTGAATATTTCTTAGCTTTTATCCTGCTATTTTTTTTTCGGAAGGAAAAAGGGGCGGCATGCGCCCCCACCACCCCCTGGATCTGCCCCTGCTGGTTTAAATATTTATGAATTACGTATGTCAATCCTTCTTAACGTCGTTATTGCTGTTGAATGTATTAATATTCATATAATTCATTTTACAAATCCTTTTAATGTTGTAAATGTTGCTAAATCGTAAAAACTATTGATTAAATAACCTCAGAAGAGGAGGGGGGGGGGGGGGGGGGTATTGAGCACAATTTTTTTTTTTTTCGGGGGGGGGGGGGCCCTCGAAAATTTAAAATTTTGCACCCCCCCCCCCCTTGGGCGTCAGGGGGGGAGCCATCCCTCAAAAAAGGTAAAAATCACGTGGGGGCCCCCTGAATCCGCCACTGTTGCTTAGGGCATCAGACCTCTGCAAAAAAATTCTTGCTTCTCTCGTGGAGAAAAGATTAGTGCAAATCATTTTTTAGAAAAGATGATGATGCTATTGTTAGAATTATGCATAACCTTTCTGTTTGGCATGGAAGAGTGTGAATTTGTGTGTTAAAGTCAGTAAAAACGCTTCTCACTCTGTTGTGACTTGTGTTGTTTGGTTGTTAGGTGTTTTATGAGTTTGATTTATTCTTATTTTTTTTCAGGTGATTTCCAATTCTATACATGGCTCGTAACCCGATAGATACCGTGACATCTCTGTAAATCAATCATCGGGTATTCACCTGTCTTTCAATCATTCTCCTGGGATATGATCTTACAGTGTTTCATGGAATGAAGACGGTTAGTACATTTCAAAGTACATTGTACTTCCCTTTATTTCCAACTTGACATTTTTCCCCACACATTTTTCTCCTTATTCAGTAGGCGTAATATATTATCGAGCAATCCAATACTTTTCACCTTCATCAAGATCATGTTTAGCTTGGATGTATCCGAACAAAGTGGGAAACGAACATTTCCAAAATGAGAAATGTTGAGTATATGGGCAATTCCACGGTAACGGAATTACATTTCAGAGAAATTTGGGCTCTATTTTGATATACTGTAGACAGGTGGTTAGACCTAGGTGATTATTTATCTTTTTATTCTTTCTGTATTATGCACCTGTTAGCAAATCAAATTTAAAAAAATTATTTTTCAACATTCGGAACACCCCAGGACCAAAAGTGTGTCGGTAACGGAATTACGGCAGAAAAATCAGGTTATTTTTTACACTAACTTTGAAAAGATTTCGTCTGAAATCTGCAGCCAATTGGGGGTGAAGTAATGCTAATAAAGGGAGCTTATATTGTTGATTGTCCCATGGCAAGATTTTTTTTGGTGAAGTTGTCATGGTTTATCTATGCCGAATGGTTTTATGAAAGAAGGTAGCGGTAACGGAATTACATTAATGGTAACGGAATTACGTCTTCTGAAATAAGCTTGAAAAAAGGTGATTTTGTAAACATTATTTAGGCTTAAATTGTTGTTTAATTGTTTCAGGGGTTGCAATAATTGATTTAAACTACAAAGCAATTCATATGTGCACTTCATTTATAAAAACTGTTGAAAAACGTGTCTTTTATATTGTTAAATAGCAAGTAAATATGACATTTCTGAGCAAATATTGGTGTGTAGTGATTAAATTTATGTCAATATGTGTTATCATATACTAGTTTACAACTAATTTTAATTTGGTTTAGTTTGCAAGTAGGAACATCACACAAAGTATGACAAACTATATATATTATTGCCCATTTGGCGGTAACGGAATTACACATATACAGATCACTTTTGTGACCATACTGTACATGACAAACTGGTTGTGAAGTCGCCAAGACCAATTTATAGAAACAGGTCAATAAACTCCACAGTATTCAATAGGAAACAAAGGATATTCAATTGTTTTATTGACTATTGTGAGGGCCTATTAACCTAGCAAATACCACATGCAATACATTATTTCAAAGCTTATTTTATGCAGGTTTGATCAAAATCGATTGAAAATTGCAACATTACAACCTGTTCGTCGTGGATGGTTACATTTAAGCATTCAAACAATTCCAAAACACTTAAGTGCTACTAATAACACTGCCTACACCCAACACAGGGATCTTGGTGTAAATTAAAAACAAAACACATGAATATTTATTTATAATGATTTCAGTCCATAAAGCCAACCACCAAAATCTAAACTAATTATATAAAGAGAGCTTAATATAGCTATCATTTTGTCAACAGCGTTTCAATAATATTTCACACCAGAATTTGTAAATCATTCCCCTATCTCATATTTCTGTCGAACCAATTTTTCAACCTGCTGAGCCAATTTTGCGACATTAATGGTAGAGCCTTAGAGGGAGCACTGCTTATCATTCTTTTAAAATTAATTACAAACCTTGTCATATGATTCCATACTACAATTTCAATCCACAAAAGCTAGCACCCAATTCAAAACTAATTAATTAAGATAATGTCATCAACAGAGTTGCAATAAAATGTCAAACCTTGTAAATCATTACGCCAATTCACTAAATTGTTATCATTCTTTAATAGTTGGTTATTATTCTTTTAAAATTGATCAGTGTTCTTGAATTTGTTACAACATGTAACAAACTTGACCATTGTCATCATTCTTCATTCCAAACAGTTATATTTTCTCTGAGCGTTAGCGATCTAGTCAAAGGCGCCCTGCCATCCCCCCCCCCCCTCCCCTTATGTTTAATACGTAGAGTATGGAAATTAACCGTCTGCAAGAGGGCTAGTCTGCTGTGGTCGTAGCCATCTACAAACTGTACATGTAACTTCTAATAAAATACATGTTTTTTGATAGATTAGACCTTCCCCTTCAACCTCCACCTTGTCATTTGTTAACGTATTTGCTCTGAGCGCTAGCGGACCTGCACAGTAAGTTTCCCTGACACCTTCCCTCAGTCCCATATGTTTTACGTGTTACGAGTCGGCAAAGTAACCGTCTGCAACGGGACTAGTCCGGTACCTGCCAAAGCCTTTTTACTTTTTATTAAATATTTTTCGCTAGATTAGACCTTGCTTTTTCAACCTCCACCTACATATAGTCATCGGCAAAGGTATTTTCTCTGTGTGCTAGCGGACTGATTCAAAGTCACCCCTCCCCCCCCCCCTCCAATGGCCCCATCCATATAACGAAAGTGTCCGTCTGCAAGAAGACTAGTTCACTATGGTCTTTTATAGCCATCTAACTTTTAATGAATTATCCTTTTTTGTTTTGGTAATTTACATGTATTGTAGACCTTGCTTTCCAACCTCCACCTAGCTGTTTTTTAGGGTGTTTTCGTGGGGTATTTTCTTTGAGTGCTAGCGGACATCGTCAAAGTCACCCTGCCCCCCCCCCCTTTCCCTTTAAAAGTCCCATATGTATAATACGTAGAGTAGGGAAATTCACAGTCTGCAAGAGGGCTAGTGCGCTATGGTCTTAGCTTTCTAACTTCTAATGAAATTTTTCTTTCTTTTTTCGATAGATTAGATGAGATCAGTGAAGAATAAAAATCAGAAAAGGCACTGTTTAAAATCGCCATAGGTGAAATAATATGAAGTATTTCCATGCTTAAATCAAAAGGTTTCATAAGAGATGTTGGTACAATTTTAATTGCAAGTTCAGAGTGAATGAAAATAAACACATCTAAAATTCCCAGCCTAGTTTGTAGTCTTTATGCAAATTTGAAAAAAGTTTTAAAAAAACATTCATTGAATTTATCGAAGCCAGATCCTTAGTCTTTAGTTAGACAGTTAATATAATAAGCCACTACTTCAAAAAAAGGGGCAAAATCCATTAAAAATGTTGTAACACAGCATACATTATATGTACATGAGGCAGCAGGTCCATCTCTTGAAAAACGAACCACTCATTACTAATGCTGCTGCCCCTTGTAATTATGTTACCAGTGTAATTCCGTTACCATGTAATTCCGTTACCAGTGTTTTGATAGGAAAATAAGTAGATACTTCTGAAATTAATGTTTAGGGCTGTTGGTAGGTAGATAAAGGAAGAGAATTTGCAACTTCAAAAAAAAGAAGTAAGAAATAACTTTGTGAGTAAAACTTCTTTCAAATTTTGGTAACGGAATTACGCCATTTTAAGGGTAAAATTGAAAAATCTCTCACACAAAAACTTTTTTCATTTTTTGAAAATAATTTGCAAATCTTGATTCCTATTTGTGATGTTGTTCAATTAGGAATAAATATAGAGGAATAAGTTTTAAATACATTGCTCCACTGAATTTTAAGAAATTAAATCATGATCATGTGATTGTGGCCCCCAAAATAGCCCCAACTTCAAATAAATATTTCAGAAAAAACTGTAAAAGATATTTCAAAACGGTTTTCAGTTCCGTCACAAGTGATTTCTTGACCACATGGAAAATGTTAAATTATTGAAGTTGGATCAAATTAAGAATTTGGTGATTTTCCTCTTTCCCATACGGAATTGCCCATATACGAACATTTTCGAAAATACCTAAAAATGCGCAATTGAGCAAAAATACCCAAGATTTATTCGATGAAGATGCGACTGTTGTAACTTCTTTCAATAAAGGTTTTAAAGTATTAAAAAAGAGGAAATCTTCCTCCATTCTCTAGAACTCTTTAATATTTTCTTTTTGTCTAATCTCTTGTTCAGATAATGGCTGGGGACAATGGCCTGAGCATGATGTCAAACGATGCTGGGATACCAATGAATGAGAAAAAATGTCTTGTTTCTTTTCAACGAGAGCATGAAGAAGGTGCGTGTTAAGCCGTGTTTAAAGATGACGTGGTAGAACTAGACCGCCTATTAAAAAAAAATACCCGCCGCGATATTAATACATTATAATAAATGAAATATATATGAATGAAAGGCAGGCAGGGAAAAGCTGCTCGTAAGAAAGACCCCATTCTAAAATAAATTTTGGCCAGACAGGCCGAGTAAAAAACGAGGCTTATACTAGTTACAGGTGTAACTCTGATCACATTGGGCATGATAGCTCGGTGGTAGAGCAGCGGTTAGTGGTATCTTCGCTCCCGGTTCGAAACCAAGGAGAGTTATTTTATGCAATGCCGGATACATAACATATACCGCTCACCCCTATTGGAAATTTAAATAATTTTATGTTTCGGGCAGGGGGCAAGTTACATGGCAAGGCCATTACCAAATCGCCGGCTCGAAATTTACATAATGAGTAGTGATCTAAAATAAACAGGTAACAACTAAATCATTCTTAGAAAATAATGTAAGTTAATATTTGTAGCATTCTTCAGATCCAATTCATTCTCGACTCTTTACAAAAGAATGAGTGAAAAGTTGTTGTATTTCAACTTATGCAGATATTCTGGAAAGCCGAGTACCAGGAAAAAATACAAGTAGTCCGGAAACAGAGGTTAATTAATCTGAATGCATTTATTCAAAGATCATGATTTCTCAAAAAAGATTTTAATTTCTCAAAACATTATTGGGATGAGACTCGTTAATATTTACAACAAAGAAATACTTTTTAACAGCCCCCCCCCCCCCCCCCCACCACACACGTCTTCAGATTTCAGATTTTCAGATTGGGAAGCGTTCGTGGACATTCGCGGTTTTCAAACTAATTCGGCCTCCTTTCAGCCTCATTTTGGCAATATGACTCTGCCTCAGCCCCTGAACTTGTGACAGTATCTGTTGATGCCCATTATAATATAGATTAAATAATTTTTGTCTCATAAAACTCTTGTTACAGTTTTAATTGTCTCCGATGGATGGAAGAGCCGCTTCACTGTGACCGAGAGTAAGTTGTTTGATGAATGGTGTCGAGAAAACATGGCCGAAACTGATAAAAGTTTCAATTTGAGTAGAATGCTCGATTAATGAGTCAACAAAATAGACGTTTCAGTACTTGCGACCAAACTTAAAAGTGCATTCCTCTATAACTCTCCTTTTGATAATATGACATTTTATCTATCCGATGAAAATACGCATCATAAAATGAATTTATTACAAAGTTTGCACCAGGATATACAGGAGACCTCCTTCAATATCATTTAAAATGACATCTCGCTTCGGTCCCAGAACTCCCATCCTTAATTATGTAAAAATCGAACGAACACAAATGTTATCAAACTTGTTCGGCCCTTACTCTACTAACCCTGTTCTATGGTTCAACTGAATAAGTAGAGTACGGAGTTGTTTTCCTCTTAATAAAATGATAGTACCATTGTAAGTAAAATTGGTAATACGAATAAATAACATTTTACCAAAGACCATTAAAGACCTAGTAACAACATTTAAAGGTACGGTGTACTTGTACATAGTTACATTCGAGGTAAAATACATAATCATGACAGACAAAACATCGAGAGGTATACCATCAAAGATATTATCATCATTGTAAAAGAAAATCAAAAAGGCCCTTAAGCGTATTCACAAACTCGTAAATCATTTTATATTTGAAGCGGTGTTTGTTAGTTTTACAATAAATCGCGTTTCCCGTGTTACTAAGGATTATCATTTCTCAAATCTGTTCATTCTGAAGGCTGTAATATCTAGCTCTGGCGTGGCGCCCAAGGCGAGCTGGGTCAGGATCCGACCGACGATCGGGGCCATCATGAACCCATGCCCCGAAAATCCGCAGGCGATGACGATGTTGCGGTGATCGGGATGAAGGTCGATCACGAAATCATGATCCGGAGTGTCCTGATAGAAATTGTGGTAGAGGGGCAGAGGAATAGAGAGATAGAGAGAGGGACAGAGGAATATAGAGATAGAGAGAGAGAGAGAGGTCGAAAAAGAGAAGCCAAAAACAAGAAGAAAGACAAAACAAATATAATCAAAGTAGTGAACAGAGTGGTTAGAGGAGAGAAATAGATTATAAACAAAAGAAGAAAAAGAATAACAAGAACGAGAAGAAGAAGAAGTAAAGAATAAAGAACAAAGCTAAACATGCCAAAGGACAAAACTAAACTAAAAAGATAATTACCGTGATGAGACAGGCCTCCGAGATGACAGGACCATTCTCTGCGTCCAGTCCGGGGAAGTGTTCCCGCACATGCTCTCTAGATAGCTCGATTTCATGGGCTGAACTAGAAGAATCCCGATCGTCGGCACTTTCAATTGGCATAGGAGTCCATCGAGAGACCTGGTATAAGGAAGAAAAAAAGGTTTGGATTTTGAATCTTGCAAAAACTTTAGCAACACCGGGCTCAGACGGTTTCAATTATTGTTCGTAGCCTTTATATCCCGTCTTGATTATCAAAGGACGTTACATATGAGAATAAAAATACTCAAGTCTACAGACCACCTACTTTCATCATTCCAGGGTATTCTACACTGGGCCAGCCACTCGATTCGAAGGAAGTCAGACTATGGTCAAAGTAGATCGGCATATCAGCATACATCCCGGGCTCCTTCTCCTTCCAAAACGTGTGATGACAGCGAGCGACCTGAAAAGAAGAAGAAGAAAAAAGTTTAAAAAAGTAAAAAATTAAAATGAGAAGTTCAGTGCTCTTCTGGAAGCGGCGAATCAAGGGTCGATACAAGCTCATTTGAAATTGGCATATTTGGAAAGAGCATAGGCATAATAGTTTGCGTACACGGAATTTACAATAAAGACAAACCGATGGTGATATTCTTTCAACTTTGCCAGCGGATTCCACTTTTTTTAAAAAGAAACAAAGAAGATAACTAACTTTTTAAAACGTTTTTTTCTTCTTCCAAGAGCAACATCCGTATCGCGACACCACTGCATGGAGCAATTTAACACTCTAAAACCTACTGTTTTGTAGCTGACAACTACCCCCAACTGGTGGGAGTATTTTTTATACAAACTGGTAAAACAATTTGGGAATCGAACGGCATCTGAATTAGGAAATATAGTCATGCAATTTGACATAAAAGAAGAAAGATATCAAGACCTATATAATTTTATAATTTACATGGATAATGTACTGGTAGTCGAGATGATATTTCTAATTACCTGAAGTGGTATATTGAGTCCAAGTTGTTTTAGGAGTGTTGATGCCCATGGACCGGGAGCCAGGATGACACTCCGGGTCTGGTATTCACTTCGATTGGTTTTCACCGTTACCATGGTACCAGGAACAATCTCCAACATCTTCTCTTCATCATGGAGGACTCCGCCATGTTTCACGAATTCACCCTTTGAAATAATTTGTATATATGATAAAAAGTGCGATCGATTCGGAAAAAAATCACGCTCCTCATGGCAAGAAAAGTATGTGATAAACATGTTAAGTCAAAGCTTGAGAAATTCAATATTTTAAAATATTTTGGCCTGAAACATCTATGCATATCAATGAATTATTTTCATTAAAATTACCCTGAAGTTCATAAAGATTCGGAGAAACAGTGGCAAAAACTATTTTGTTTAACTAATGCAATGAGGAGAATTCAAACAAGAGCCGGTGAACGTGTAATAATTTAGCCTGCATACCTTTACGTAATTATGAATTACGAAACGAGGTATTCGATCCAACATAAAATACCAATAACAATTTTTGCATGTCCAAACTGTAAGGGTGTCATCAACCGACCTGGTAGCATTGTAGAGCCTTGTTTGCACGAATGTATCCACCCTTCTTGTACAGATACGATTCGGGTTTGGTCGGATAACTGATGTTTGGAAACCGACGGGTCCTCTCTTCGATCGATAACCGCTCTAGGCCAGCTCCAGATTTCTTCATGGAATTTAACATCGCTTTCGGGTAACCTTCTGTCCACTTTTCACAAAAATTCAAAACACCGATTTCTCTGGAAAAAAACACAAAAACGATTGAGTATCAAATTGCATGAACAAGTTGTAAATCATATTGCATGATATTTAATACTACTTGATATATACGTATACTATGTTTCTTTCTCTATTTTTTTTTTGTTGGGGGAGGGGGCGGACGGGTAAGAATGTTTTTAAAAGCCCTTTATTATGTCTAGTTTGAATACGACAGACGGGAGAGTGGTCATAGTGGTTAGTGATTATGCTTTAGCAGCCAAAACGTATTTTTGTTATTCATGTTACTTATATAAAAAATGCCGTTTCTTTTGATATTCATGTAAATCATTTATATCCTGTTAGACAGACGGAGTCTTGGAAAACAGAAGGCATACTTTTGCAATTCTTTTCTGCAACAAAGGAATTTGAAATAATCGCGAATATTTGTGTACTTCATAATAGTTTGGAGGTTTGGAGGTTATTATGATCACAAGATGAAGGTGATGAGTCGTTGTTTATCATGCAATAGATCATGAAGCATATTAAGGGCTAGTAATCCCACCTGAGCACTTCTGTGTTGGTCTCCTTTGCTAGTTCCTCCCACATAGGGTAACATACATCCATCAGCTTCTGATGATGTTCGGCTGTCTTGGCGAAACTTATAATCCTAGTCCCACCATGTGAACTACCTCTTGAATGAGGTAAAGGAAACTATTTATCAAAGAAAGGATAATACAAATTTACGAATTATAAAGATTTTATGAGATAAGAAAGACTCAAAGAGAATGAGGTATAATTATGCAGATAAAATGAGACAGCAAAGTTTTATCACATCATGTATATTGAAGTTTGATTGATTTGGTATGGTATCGCATAATAGTTTTTTATATTTTCCTTTTACTTTCCTCTCGGAAGAGAAAACATAAAAAGCTGATGTCTTCACAATAAAGTTTGAAAAAGAACTTCTCCAGGCTAATGATCCGACGTCCATTGTCTGCCCAATGATAAAAATATGAAACATTTTCACATATACAATTGCTTATATAAAAAAAATGCACCTATTTGTAATTTCTGAGGGGCCATATACGATGCATACAGGCTGACAATATACCCTTGTAGAAAACTTGATTATTATAATCGGGGGCCTATTTTTCCCTTCGTTTGACGATATTGATCTGTAATGCTAAATATATTACTCATTGCGGATATAGTATCGAAAATAATATCGCTAGTGGCATTCGTTTGTCTCACAATGGTCAACAAGGGATCAAAAAAGATCAGTCACGACGTTTCGTGTGCCGCTGCTACAATTCGTCAGGTGATAAAATATATTGTAAGCAAGCGTCTTTTATAGGCCTACTCTACGAGTGGACTGACCGGCGGTCAACTAATTCGATCAATAATTAGAACAATAACGGCCTGCATTAACAATATGTATTTCGCACGACAAATACGACAAAGCATAGACAGATACAGAAGCTGAAATAAATCAGTTTCTGTGCGCGAAGTATAGGCAGAGTCGCAGAGAGTATCTCGTTTTGTTATCCATACTGTCGGGCATATCGACAATACACACACTGCATGTATGACCGAGTTCAAGCTTCAAGTTCACAAATTACTATATGCATATACACGTGGGCATAAGGTTCACTCTATTTACTGTATAACCCGTGAATGCATGCATGGTGTACTCGCCAAACGTACTTTGCAGATTGTATCACGCATATAATATAACTGACCTGTTCAAGAAGTAAAACCCTCTTGCCTGCCTTCACGCCGTGATAAGCGGCTGACGACCCTTCAACCCCCGCTCCGATCACCACTACATCGTAGACGTCGCCCATGGTTTCAATGACTGCAGACTATAGTCGATGTCGTACGTCGGACGATGTCGATGGTTAATAGGCGCGGTGGTGTGGTTTATCTGTAATCAAGGTCAGACAATTCATTTATTCCCGGGTAGGCCTACATCTGTTCATAAAATGCTCATGGATGGAAAACAAACTGTGGGTACTAGTAGATGATAGCATATATAGTTGCATTTGTACGTGGTGCATTATGTTGAATTGGTGGGGGGGGGGGGGGGGGTTAATTGGCCACTCATGTTTACTAACTGCTTTAACCACTATTCGCAAATAACAGAGCAGGTGTTTACCAAATATTTATCTAACCTTGATTTTACCTTTCTGGCAATAATATTTTGGACGTCGTATATATACGGCCTATGACAATGCATGCCTAGGCTACATTATATTTATAGAATATTCAAAATTAACCGCTTGTTATTATGGTTAATTTGGTATGAACCTATTGTATAAATGAAAAAAGGTTAGTGTTGTGTAATGTTGCTTGGTGTATTTTTTTTTCATTGATCTACTCTCCCTCCCTCCTCTACCGCTTCTCATCCTCCAAACCCTCCTTTTTATCTCTCTCTCTCTCTCTCTCTCTCTCTCTCTCTCACACACATACACATCTCTCTCTCTCTCTCTTCATTTTGCTTTATCTACATAAAGTCATCGAAATCATGAAATAATTATAAGTAAGTAGATAGAGAAGGAAGGAATAAGAGATATATTTCAATTGGGTAGTGATCACTATTTTTTTCCTTCATTTTGCCCCCCGAAATTTGAAAAAAGTGCCGACCAATATTTCGGGTCAATGGGGGTTGGGGGGGGGGGGGAAAGCACTATTAAAAAAAAATCATTTTGCCCCCGACATTTCCTCTTTTTTTTTTTTTTTTTTTTTTTTCTTCTCTTTCCTTTCTTTTCCTTTCCCCCCTTTCTCTCTCATTATTCCGATGGCAGTGCAATTTTATCGAGGGGGGGGGGGGGGGGGGGGTGAGCACTAAATTTCTCTTTCTTCATTTTGCCCCCCGAAATCTGAAAAAAGTGTCGACCAATATTTAAAGGTACTATGTCCCATTTGCAAAAAATGAAAAAGTTAAATTCCAACTGCATTTGAAAGATAATACTAATTTAGAACTTACCTAAAAAAGGTGGGGCTTGAAAATGTCTTCAAGTGGGAAAATAACGACTATTAGTTGTCAAATCGACTTTAGGGCTATAGAGCCCAAAAGTAATAGTCTTGATTTTCAGACAATTGTACCGAATGGTCATACGTTTTATGCTGCGCAAAGATTCAATCAGTTTAATCTTGGCCATCACAAGAAGTGGGTTATTGATGTAGACAAATGCTCAAAAAAAAAAAAAGCCAGTCAGTCACTCAATAGTGTCTGACAGTGAAGTCTAGCAAGTAAACGGGTTTCCTTGCATAATTTGAATATGAGGACACTGCTAACGTTTAAATTTCACAGATAGGACATACATGACATATTCATAATTCCTGCAAAGTTATACAGCATTTGAGGTTGGCTGCAAAAGGGACATATTACCTTTAAGGGGGGGGGGGGGGGAGTAGAAAGCACTACCAAAAAGCAATCATTTTGCCCCCGACATTTAAAAAAAATTACAATAGGCTGTGGTCACGTGGGGTGCTGCAGGTAGAAAGTAAATCATTGGCCACATCCAGTCAGTGGAGAATCCATGACTCTCTGGCACGAGGGGGGGGGGGGGGGGGCAAAAAAACAAAAAACACAGAATGGAATAATAAACAGACCTCTCAGTATTCTACACCATTAATGGTAACTTTGCCATCAATGGTAACTACCATGACAATCTTGATTTGATTGGCTGTTGAGCCAGGGGCGTAGCCAAAGGGGGGGGGGGTGTGGGGGTGCGACACCCCCCCCCCCACCTGTCAGGATATTGTCGGTAAAATTGCGCTGCCATTGGGAAGAAAAAAAAAGGGGGAGGGAAAAAAAGAGAGAGAAAGGGAAAGACTCTCTGGCACGAGGGGGGGGGGGGGGCAAAAAAACAAAAAAACACAGAATGGAATAATAAACAGACCTCTCAGTATTCTACACCATTAATGGTAACTTTGCCATCAATGGTTACTACCATGACAATCTTGATTTTGATTGGCTGTTGAGCCAGGGGCGTAGCCAAAGGGGGGGGGGTGTGGGGGTGCGACACCCCCCCCCCACCTGTCAGGATATTGTCGGTAAAATTGCGCTGCCATTGGGAAGAAAAAAAAGGGGGGAGGGAAAAAAAGAGAGAGAAAGGGAAAGAAAAGAAAAAAAGAAAAGGAAAAGAAAAGAAAGAAAGGTAAAGAAAGGAGAGAAAGGAAAGAAAGGAAAAGAAAGGAAAGAAAGGAAAAGAAAGGAAAGAAAAGAGAAGAAAGGAAGAGAAAAAAGAAAAAGAGGGAGGAGAGGAAAGAAAAGAAAAAGAAAGAAAAGGAAAAAAAGAAGAAAAAGAGAAAAGGGAAACAAAAGAAACGGGGGATGAAAGAGAGGAGAGAGAGGGGAGGTAAGAGCCTGAGAGAGGAGGAGTGGGAGTAAAAGAGAGAGGGGGTCGTTGGGTGGAGTCGTCTCGTCGAGGGAGCAAGAAAGACACGGGTGAATATGTTGCTGTGTCGGGTCAGCTGTGTCGGTATTCTTGCTCGATCCTCGTGTACTATATGAATGCAGAAGTTTGAAGTCGGTGAGATGTATATTGACGGTCGGCCGACAAGTTTTTTTCCCAAAGAACTGTGACTTTTTTTCCGCTATGACGACTTCGAAGTTTCACTTTCCTATTATATCAGCTAAAGAAATCAGAGGTTTAAATTTTCGGGGAAACTAAATTCAAACAAGAATTAAGAGTCAACAACGGTACGACGAAAAAGGGCGAATCGTCTTCCTTTCTCTATTTTTTGATGAAACGCCAAAAATGTCCACGCTTCGCGCGGGAGGGGAAAACTTCATTTAGACAAGTCGAGAACGGTACAACGATCGTCTGCTTTCTCTAATAATTTGAGGAAACGTCAAAGCTTCCGCGCTTCGCGCGAGAGGGGGAAACTGAATTCAGATAAATAGGGCTTAATAAGAGTCGAAAACGGTGCAACGAATCGTCTTCTTTCTATAATAATTTAAGGAAACGTCAAAGCTTTTTGCGCTTCGCGCGGGAAGGGGGAAACTGCATTCAGACAAGGATTAAGAGTCGAAAACGGTACAACGAATCGTCTTCTTTCTCTAATAATTTAAGCAAAATTCAAAGCTTCCGCGCTTTGCGCGAGAGGGGGAAACTGAATTAAGACAAATAGGGCTTATTAAGAGTCGGGAACGGTACACCGAATCGTCTGCTTTCTCTAATAATTTAAGGAAACGTCAAAGCTTCCGCGCTTCGCGCTAAAGGGGGAAACTGAATTCAGACAATTAGGGCTTTAATATTAAGAGTCGAAAACAGTACAACGATCGTCTGCTTTCTCTAATATTTTAAGGAAACGTCAAAGCTTCCGCGCTTCGCGCGAGAGGAGGAAGCTGAATTCAGATAAATATAGCTTAATATGAGTCGAAAACGGTGCAACGAATCGTCTTCTTTCTATAATAATTAAATCAAACGTCTAAGCTTTTTGCGCTTCACGCTGGAGGGGGAGAACTGAATTCAGATAAGGATTAAGAGTCGAAAACGGTGCAACGATCGTCTGCTTTCTCTAATAATTTAAGAAAACGTCAAAACTTCAAACGTCTAAGCTTTTCGCGCTTCGCGTGGGAAGGGGGAAACTGAATTCAGACAAGGATTAACAGTCGAAAATGGTACAACGAATCGTCTGCTTTCTCTAATAATTTAAGGAAACGTCAAAGCTTCCGCGCTTCGCGCTAAAGGGTTAAACAGAATTCGGACAATTAGGGTTAAGAGTCGCAAACGGTACAACAAATCGTCTGCTTTCTCTAATAATTTAAGGAAACTTCAAATCTTCCGCGCTTCGCGCGAGAGGGGGAAACTGAATTCAGACAAATAGGGCTTAATATGAGTCGAAAACGGTGCAACGAATCGTCTTCTTTCTATAATAATTAATTCAAACGTCTAAGCTTTTTGCGCTTCGCGCTGGAGGGGGAGAACTGAATTCAGACAAGGATTAAGAGTCGAAAACGGTACAACGAATCGTCTGCTTTCTCTAATAATTTAATGAAACGTCAAAACTTCCGCGCTTTGCGGGAGGAGGGGAGAAACTGAATTCAGACAAGTATTAACAGTCAATTTTAGCCTTCGACCCGGGCTTATAGGGTTAAATTTGTAGATATTGGGACATTTAATTTTGTCGGTAATTGGTGGCTAGTTTTGTCAGTAATCGTTAGCCTCTACACCCCCCCCCCCCCACACTGAAAAAGGTCTAGCGACGCCCCTGTGTTGAGCCCTGTTACCATGGAAGTTGCAATTCATGGCAAAGTTACCATCAATGGTAAGTTTTATACAACGAGTCCCTGGAGTGCTGAGGGTTTCTCCCCAGGCCAGTTACCCCTGGAAAAAACAATAACCAGTGGTTTTCCGGCCTCTTCCAAATCCTAATAGATCAAGTTTATTTCATTGATATAGAGTATTCCTGCGTCAAGTTTACTTTATTGATAGAGTATTCCTGTTTCTTCAGTGATCGTGTTGTGCCGGAGACCGAGGGGTATATCATGGATGATGAGGCTAAGTTAAAGGAGGAGGGCGTTGATGTCTTCGATGTAGTTTTGATTGGAGCGGGCATTGAGGGATCGGCAGCGGCTTATTACAGCGCTAGAGATGGACGTCGAGTCTTACTCATAGAACAGGTGGGTCAGATTGTAGTGTGGTTTTTGAACAGGTCAGATTGTAGTGTGGTTTTTGAACAGGTCAGATTGTAGTGTGGTTTTAGAACAGGTCAGATTGTAGTGTGGTTTTTGAACAGGTCAGATTGTAATGTGTTTTTTTAATTACAAAGGAAGGTTGACCCAAAGTCTATATTACGGTTGATATTTCAGACGTATAGCTCTCTTCCTGATGATGGTGTTAAACAACGCCTACTATTCGTCATTAATATTCACATTTTGGTTCAGCTACCAAAACACCTTGCAAATAAGCAGGTTGGAGAGTCGCTATGATAAATATATATGTTCTCTTTATTGGAGAAAGGGGGCACATGTCTTTTAGCCACAAAGGTTCAAGGGACAAATTAAATAAGGAAGAGAATGGATGTAGTGTAAGGATTCTCAAAATCTCTTTACAACAACTTTAGATTTAGCGGCATGAATCTATATGATAGTCCCCCCTCTCCCCCACAATGATTGACGCCCCTCTCATCCAAAGGTTAGACCGAGTTCCAAGTATAATGTAAGGACACATTCGTACATATTGGTTTATAAAGGACTTGCTACCTAATGTATTATTGTTTAACCCGAGTGTGACTTAATTTTATTTGCAGTTTACTGTCTGCTCAATCGAGAGGGACTTTGGCAAGACCATAAAACCTTTGTGCGGATATTTTGTATGGATATAAATTTACATTCCAGGTCAAATTTGCCTGCTACAGCTAGCTAGGAATAATGGAGTTATGTCTATGTGCCTTTGTAATTACGATTTCCACGAGGCAATACTCACAATACTTATAAAAGTTGGCCCCGAAAAGACGTATATCCCCATAACATTGTAATTCAATTGTTCCTGCCTCAGCTGAGTTAGAAAATGGATGTAATCTGTCATAATCATCTATCTTTGTTCAAATATTGCTAACATTTGAATATGGTTACCCTCGATTTTATCTTTGAAATTACCTTGCATAATAATAATATATTGCGCATTGTGTTTCAAAACCCAATTCGCTTGATTAGTAAGCATTCTGATTCGTAAATAGTAATAAATGATGAATTAGAATTAATAATGCTCTTCAATCGGCCCTAGCTGTGATTATTATACCAGCAAATTGCCAGTGAGATACCCATTTTATACATTTGGTTTCGAGGGACAACTGTGAGCAAAATAGGCCTACCTTGTCCAAGGAAATTATCAGCGACCAAGGATCAACCCATGCAGGGGAGTCCACAATCTTCACCAATATGCTACAGTGTCTATGACGTCTCTTGATTCTGTACGAAAATAATGTTGCTAAATATATTACTCATTGCGGATATAGTATCGAAAATAATATCGCTAGTGATATTCGTTTGTCTCGCAATGTGGTCAATAAGGAATCTAAAAGTTCACGACGATATTATATTCTAGCGATATTATTTCGAAAATAATGTTAGTTAAAGAAACACAAATAAGAAAATTTCTTCCTAAACTATTGTCTCTTTCTAGGTCATTAATAGTTCCATTTTCACTAATTCGTTATGACTCTATATTTTCAGTTTTCCTTGCCCCATACAAGAGGAAGTTCTCATGGCGGTAATCGAGTTAGTTGCTTCGCTCAATCCGACAAACCTTATCAGAAACTCATCGAAGAGGCTTATCCACTATGGGAGGAGCTGGAAAAAGAAACAAACACAGAAATACTTAGGTGGGTATATACACACGAAATAGTTTCTATTCAATTCAATTCAAATGATTTTATTCCCGTAATTCAATCAAACGTAGACAATGCCTACATTTGCAATATAACATAGAAAATGAAGCTTATTTGTTATTATATCCCGGTGATTATACCATACACAGTAAAAACGCTGTTTAAAAAAGTGATGTTCACTTACAGTTGTACACTATCTTAAACAACAGTTGAACAAATTGTAAACAATGTTGCTCGAAACGAAAGTAATTTTGTTAAACATTCGTTGTTTAAAATTTAATGACTGCTATATTTACTATACGAGAGCTTTTAGACAGTGTTGTTTACATATGACGTCAAGTGTCTCGTGCCAGTAAAGTGCGCGCTGGCTAAAAGCTTTATTTCACATTGTTATGTTTAGAAATAGGTTCCTTGAAACTAACATGCAATTGAAATTAACATGCCACTTAGAAATGCAGTGCAGCTGTTCAGGCACAGCTCATTGTTATTCATATTAAATGCATACACACAATGCAAGTATATGCAAGGGTCTTCTGTTGACTACACAGATTGATACATATGTAAAAGCACATGGACATTGAGTCTGGATTAAACTACCAAAGCAACCACACGTGTTTCTGCAGGCTCCATTTTGTTTGTCTCTATACTTACATTTATTTAGCTTAATAGTTTTTACTTTCCAACCCACAACACACACACACCATGGCCGACCAAGCTACCGACGTGCTTCTAAGTGACTGGGGATTCAGTGGCTTAATAATTATTGAAATCACTTTTCTATTAACCAATTTGAAGTTTTTAACTTATAGCGTAAGTTCACAGTAACAATTTTCAGTATCTGTACGCAAATGTCAGAATATAGGTAGACTTAAAATCGTCGCGTCATGCAGTGCGGCACTGATCGCGCACTCGGTTATAACGTGTGCTAAATTCCTTGCCATAGAGATTGCATGCATCCCTATATATGCAGTTTATACGTGCGTGCATGCGCGCTCATGCAAAATGGGCACTGTTTTGGCGCTAATTCATGAATTGCAGAATTACCCTACCGTATTGTTAGTCTTCATATACCTATATAGAGACCCAGAAGTAGTGGTGCACTTATTCAGAGTATCAAACCCAAATTATACCCCATTATACAACCCTTTTGTTGTAAACAACCCCCACTGAACAAGAGCTCCTTTTTAAACAACTTTCTTTAAACACCCAGTTGGTGTAAACAACCCCCACTGAACAAGAGCTCCTTTTTAAACAACTTTCTTTAAACAACCCAGTTGGTGTAAACAATCCCCACTGAACAACAGCTCCTTTTAAACAACTTTCTTTAAACAACCCAGTTGGTGTAAACAATCCCCACTGAACAACAGCTCCGTTTTAAACAACCGTCTTTAAACAACACCGGTTGTTTAAAATTGTGATTTTAAACAAGTTGTTCAAAATGTTGATCAACTAAGTGTTTAAACTTTAAACAACTCGAGTTGCTTAACATTTTAAACAACTCTTAGATCAGGTCACCCGTTAATCAAGAGTTGTTTAAACTTTAAACAACTTGTTCACAAAAATTTTAACTGTGTATCAAATGTCGATGAGTGACCAAAGCATTTTAGGAAAACAAGATATATAAGCATAATAGTATTATAAATTAAGTAGAGTTTTAGGACATATGCAAAAATTAATCGGCTGCATTACCACAGGTGTTTGTCCGGGAAATTGCTTTCTAAAGTCAGAGATAGATGATCGCGGCTGTAATTATATAACCATCACCATCGAGACAAAATTGATATTTTACTTCAATAATGGTAAAAGCGCTAAGCTATAACAGCGGAGTAGAACGGAGTATTATATTAACATTGCCATGTTTGTCAAGGAAGGGGGGGGGGGGGGGGTCCTTTCTCACTTTATTAAGACATGTTGTCGCCACGTTTCATATTCGTTATATTCGGGGGGGGGGGGGGGGGGTACTCGCATATTGGGACATACGGGCGTGTGCCGCTCTAATGGACGACTTTTTCATTAAAAATCCCTAAACATAGGTCCCACTTTTAACAAAAATACGGTGTTTGCATAAAAAAACACCGAAAATTGTGGAAAATCGGTCTTTTATCGAGAAATATGCCCCCCCCCCTAAAATGGGTAGGGGTTTCGAGGTTTGAGCGGCATACCCCCGTTTAAACCAAATCTGAGTACCCCCCCCCCTCCCCGGGCGCGAATTTTTTATTCCCAAACAGGTTTGCAATTTCTTACATTTCCGTTCTTCTCAATGGCCGATATGTTCTACGTCATTAGCAGCTCGGAAAGAGGTCACAAACAATTAGACTTTGATTTTTTATTGCTTTGCCTCACTATTTATAAAGGCAAAAAAACTGAATAAACTGAGACTTTAACCCACAACTCTATGATTGTATTACGCTGACCTTACCGATTGAGCCAGCGATGGGTTAATGAAAAGTGATTCTGCATGATTTCTATAACCCTATCACTCACCCTAACGGTTACGTCATTGCTAATGACGTAACATATCAGCCAATCAGATGACCGGAAATATTAGCATTGGCAAACCTGTTTGGGAAAAAAATTAGCCCCCCCCCCCCCCGGGCTTTATATAAACTGTGCATGTCATTGTGCATGTCGTACAAAATGTTTTTTAGTCAGTTTAATAATAATAATAATAATCTTTTAAAGTCCACTCCAAATTTTATTAAACCGAAACGGAAATTCTTTTTGCCCAATTGACTGTGAGCCCGGCAGCCACTGAGCAGCGCCAGATCGACGTTGCTCTATCCATTATTGTTGAACGCCAAACAAGGTAGCAGCAACTCCCGTCTTTTAACGTATTTTAGTATGACGCGGCCGGGGTTCGAACCCACGACCTCCAGGTTGTGAGGCGGGCGCTCTTCTGACTGAGCCAACACACACGGTTTCTAGTCACGATCATGTAGGCTGCCCTCCCAATAATTCTTGATTTCCTAAATCACTATATAGTGGTTGCTCTACGTGAACACTCCGCCCCAACCCCCAACATTTCCATGTGGAGCTGGTGCCAACATACTAAACTAAAATGTATTATAATAGCATTAAACAAATTAATGCTGATCGATATCCCCAAATTCCAAACTTCTTTAATTAAATATGTTTCGATACATAATCATGATTCATTTCTTATTAAATTATTGATCTTTCACAGAAAAGTCGGGATGTTGCTTATTTCACCAGACGGATGGGAGGACGGTTATCCGCACCACATCTTGCAATCTATGATGAAATCCGGATCCGGATTAGAGAGGATACCCACCGAAGAAGCAAAGATTCGGTTTCCAAATTTCAAACCTTGCACAGGAACCGAGTTGTACTTGTACAAGAATGCTGGCTATATCCGAGCAAATAAAGCCCTGCAGGCTTTTCAGGTAAATTCAGCAATTTAAATTCTTGAAACAGACTACCTATAATTAGTGTGAGTGACTAAAAAGGTCCTTGCCCAAATCCTGTAGACGAGATAAACAGATTTGGGTCATTTTTAAATGTAATACAAACTAACCCCACGACGCCACGTTTCACTCGACTTTTCACCCACATGAGCTCTTTTTAAAAGTCCACCCCCCCCCCCCCCCCGTTCCCCGCTACCCAACTGGTCTCAAATACTGCTGTTTTTTTTTTATGTCTCAAAGGGTGAATTCGTGAAACATGGTGGAGTCCTCCATGATGAAGAGAAGATGTTGGAGATTATTCCTGGTACCATGGTAACGGTGAAAACCAATCGAAGTGAGTACCGGACCCAGAGTGTCATCCTAGCTCCTGGTTCATGGGCATCAACACTCCTAAAACAACTTGGACTGAATATACTACTTCAGGTAAATGGCTCAGTCTGTTTAAAACTGATGTATACCTATAAGAACGCTTTATCGGAATGGAATGACTAATAATGCTAGGAAATCAATGAAATGATTCGTTTGATATTTTTTAGCCGGCTGCATGCGACTGTATTTTTGTTATCAGTCATCTTTATTTTAAGCACGTTTTCTCTTCCATTTCATCTATTTTTCTCTGTCTCATAGTCTATCGAGTCATCTCCCTGATTATATAATAGCTCTATGTGGCTGTCGCTCTCTAAATGTCTCTCTGTTTCTGCTCTCCCTTCTTGCTCTCTCTATCTCTCTCTCTCTTCCCTCCTCGCCCTCTCCCCTCTCCGTATCTCACATTCCTTCTCCCATTCTCTCCCCTTTTCCCTCCTCCGTTCTATAAGACATGTCGAGCCCCACGACCCATATCATCAAATACAACGCGCCCAGCAATATACATGGTTACTCTCTGTAAAAAAAAAAGTGAATTTTCAAAATCACGGACGTCACCCCTCTGGAGAGTGAAAACAGAGTGAAAATAGAGTGAAAATTCACTCTTTTCTTTTAGAGAGCACTCTAAAATCAATCGATTTTCACTCCTAAACAAGTGATCACGGACGTCACTCCCAAGAAAGTGAAAATAGAGTGAAAATTCACTCTTTTTTTTAAGAGAGTATAATTCAACATTGAATATGATTCAAAAGTTTTTTTTAAACGTATTTGTTTGGTGATTTTGACAGGTTTTCCGTGCATACCACATCTTTTGGAAGGAGAGGGTGCCAGGCATGTATAGGGACTTCCCCGTCTATAATGACATCAGCAATGAGGGTCTTCGTGCCAGTGGTTCTCCTAGCCATGAGTACCATGGTCTCATGAAGGTGTGTTATTTATTAATTGAATCCGTACTTCTTTACCTTTATCTTTTTTTTTTAATTATCAATTTATTACTGATCTACGATGCTTTGATAGAGGGTTCTTTCTTCTAACCTTCATCTTGCTTCGTCTTTGCAATTTGTAACTGATTCGTCCACAGCCGCAAGAGTGACATTATGAGACAGATAGAGAAAGAGAGAGAGAGAGAGAGAGAGAGAGAGGGTGGGAGTGAGAGAGAGGGGGAGGGAGTGTGGGAGAGAGAGAGAGAGAGAGGGTGGGAGAGAGAGAGAGAGAGGGGGGAGGGAGAGAGAGAGAGAGAGAGAGAGAGAGAGAGAGAGAAGGAAATGAGAGATTGGAAGGGGTTGCTTGATGCCTTCCACTTTCATGACAGCGACTAATACTTGTTTGATAAGGGTGTTTAAGAAATCATAGAACGGACAGGACTACGCGGTAACCTACAGGATACAAAAATCTACATTTTGTCGTATTTTTATTATTATTATTATTTTTTTTTTTTTTTTTTTTTCTTCATCTATTTTCTCTTTCATTTCATTTTAAGGGGAAACAAAAAGAAAAAGAAAAAAAGAGAGAAGCCTATATTTAAATTATATTTTGATACTCTTATTTTTAAAAAAAAGAGATAGAAAGAAATTAATATTAAAAAGAAAGGCGTTGGTGATAATAGTCAGGTCTTGACTGATTGCCAATACAACAAAAAACAACAACAACAACATACCTTTCAACATCTAGTTAGCGCTCTTCTGGCTCTGAACAGATTTATCTTTAATAATCGTTAATGCATTCTGTTATAGATTATATAGATATTGCAGCCATCTTGACTCTTTGTTATTGTCTGTGTGTTTATATTCTGCTATAGATCTCGAAGTGGAATCCATCTCCAATCGATGGTCCTGATTTTCGGGATCGATCCGGTGAACCGCGGGAACTAGATCTTAACAAAAAGTATGTTCGGGAACACTTTCCTGGACTGGATGCAGACAATGGTCCCGCTATCAAAGAAGCGTGCCTTGTTACGGTAAACAAAACAATATATGAAGTGTCAACTTTTTCCTTTAATCAGTGTCTCTAACTTTCTAGTATTTACAAAATAGCATGCACATAATATGAAGGAATGAAAGAGTTCAAGCTTTCTTTTCAATGCTTTAAATATATAATGTTGGAAAGAGAACAATGAATGGCTGAGTACAGTATATTTGGGCCGTGGCGTATCCAGCGTGATGAACCAGAGGACGCCCCTCGAAAAAACCCAACAAGAAAATCACTCAAGTTGCAATGGGCCTGTGGCAGCTGAGGGGGGATCATAGGGGATGAAAGGAGTGTCTTCTCGAAAGTACCAAATTATGAATATCGGCAAAAATGCTTGGGGAAGAGGGGGGGGGGGGGCACTGAAGAGATTCTATTAAGATATCAATCCCTGCCAAATGATTTAAACTGTCTCCCTGTTTCGTTATATGTCCGTCTGTCTGTCTTTGTTTCTCTCTCTCTCTTTCTCTCTCATTTTCTATGTTTATTTATCCCATTCTTTGTCCCTCCCTCTCCTTTTTTCTTCTTCTGTGTCTCTATATAATGTCCCACTCTTCCCCTCCCTCCCCCCTCTCTCTCTCTCTCTCTCTCTCTGTCTCTCTATCTCTCTGTCTCTCTCTGTCTCTCTCTCTCTCTCCCTCTCTTCCACAGAACACACCCGACGCCGGTTTCATCCTAGACGTCCATCCATCTTACAGTAACATCGTCATCGCTTGCGGGTTCTCAGGCCGGGGGTTTGAATTCGCCCCCATTATAGGGCGGATCATGACCCAACTCGCCGAGGGCACTAAACCCCAACTAGATATCACCGCCTTCAAGATGAACAGATTCGACAGACAATAAGAAATATGCAGTTATATGTTAAATCATTTGTTTTTAAATGAACATTGTGTTCTTAAAATTTCGCTGATATTTATGCAAAGAATTCGAATGGAAAGGGATCATTTAAACAAGCTTATAACAATTGCTGAAATAAAACATATTAAATAATGTTGATGAATAAAGCAAAAACTTGTTATAGGGGGGGGGGGAGAGGAGGGTCACGAAAGACCGTAATATTTACCAAAAAAAGTATATTCCTTATAATTGCAATCCTTGCAGAACAGGTTCTAATGGTAACAGGTGGATACGTATAGTGCATGTTGTCATTATTGTCTATCATTACTTGTCATTTTGAAGAAAAAGTATAACTTGTATCGTTTGAAGTGGACTTGACCTGTCCTGACAACAGCTCTAAATACAAGTATAAAGCCGCTGTATATATTAAGAATCGCCCTTCCTTTAATATCTATTTTTGTTTTAAATGTATAAATCTAATCTTATTAAATCATACACCCTGTGGCCCGAATTCACAAAGGAGGTTTGTCGACAAACCTTGGTTTTCGTACGTCATATGACGCGTTTTTACGCGTTTTTTTACAAACCTGGTTTGTAAAGAACAAAAGGAGGTTTGTCGACAAACCTCCTTTGTGAATTCGGGCCTCTGAGTCTTTAAAGCGGTACTTTTGCCTTTGATAGGCCTTTGGTCTTTGTTTGTTCCCCCACATTTGATACTTTTGTTTGCTTTGTTATTTGTTGGATAATTTGTATTGTGTATGTTTGTAATTGTGATTTTTTATCAAATGTGCAAATAAAATGAATTGAATTGAATACATTCCTACCAAGTACAAATGTCAATATAATGTAAAAAGCTTCAATTAATACATTTCCATTGTAACTGTATCGTATCAGAATGGTTTTGAGAGTGTATTGAGCATGTTCTTTTGAAGCCCACCGTGTGGCAAAGAATTTTTCATTTAACTTCAACCAGTAAAAGAAACCGTTTTTATTGAGAGATAATGATTAATATTCTATTCAAATTAATAAGTCATCATTATCCCCTTCCTTCTACGGATCACCGTAGTCTGCAAGCACAGACCCTAATTTGACACTATTTATTGTGCCTTGAGAGAAGCCTAGCCCGTTAAGAGCAGCTCCGGATCACACCCCAAAGGCAGATCCTCCCTTGCCACAACGCCAAGATAGGCAAACTAGCGAAAAGACAGGGCGACCGTCTTCACAAATCAAGGAAAATTTTATAACTAAAGCAACAAATGAGGAATTGATAACCTTCTTTCTTCACCTAATGATCCAAATTATGAAAGATAAGTCAGAAGGAGAGGTGTTGTCCTTAATTAAGATAGCTGCACAGTTAAAATTTTTGTGAACAAGTTGTTTAAAAGTTTAAACAACTCTTGATTAACGGGTGACCTGATCTAAGAGTTGTTTAAAGTGTTAAGCAACTCGAGTTGTTTAAAGTTTAAACACTTAGTTGATCAACATTTTGAACAACTTGTTTAAAATCACAATTTAAACAACCGGTGTTGTTTAAGACGGTTGTTTAAAACGGAGCTGTTGTTCAGTGGAGGTTGTTTACACCAACTGGGTTGTTTAAAGAAAGTTGTTTAAAAAGGAGCTGTTGTTCAGTGGGGGTTGTTTACACCAACTGGGTTGTTTAAAGAAAGTTGTTTAAAAACGGAGCTGTTGTTCAGTGGGGGTGTTTACACCAACTGGGTTGTTTAAAGAAAGTTGGTTAAAAAGGAGCTGTTGTTCAGTGGGGGTTGTTTACACCAACTGGGTTGCTTAAAGAAAGTTGTTTTAAAATGGAGCTGTTGTTCAGTTGGGTTGTTTAAACCAACTGGGTTGTTTAAAGAAAGTTGTTTAAAAAGGAGCTGTTGTTCAGTGGGGGTTGTTTACAACAAAAGGGTTGTATAATGGGGTATAATTTGGGTTTGATACTCTGAATAAGTGCACCACTACTTTTGGGTCTCTATATAGGTATATGAAGACTAGGGTAATTCTGCAATTCATGAATTAGCGCCAAAACAGTGCCCATTTTGCATGAGCGCGCATGCACGCACGTATAAACTGCATATATAGGAATGCATGCAATCTCTATGGCAAGGAATTTAGCACACGTTATAACCGAGTGCGCGATCAGTGCCGCACTGCATGACGCGACGATTTTAAGTCTACCTATATTCTGACATTTGCGTACAGATACCGAAAATTTTAACTGTGAACTTACGCTATAAGTTAAAAACTTCAAAGTGGTTAATAGAAAAGTGATTTCAATTAAGCCATTGAATCCCCAGTCACTTAGAAGCGCGTCGGTAGCTTGGTCGGCCATGATGTTGTGTTGTGGGTTGGAAAGTAATAACTATTAAGCTAAATAAATGTAAGTATAGAGACAAACAAGATGGAGCCTGCAGAAACACGTGTGGTTGCTTTGGTAGTTTGATCCAGACTCAATGTCCATGTGCTTTTACATATGTATCAATCTGTGTAGTCAACAATTAAAGACCCTTGCATACACTTGCATTGTGTGTATGCATCTAATATGAATAACAATGAGCTGTGCCTTAACAGCTGCACTGCATTTCTAAGTGGCATGTCAATTTCAATTGCATTTTAGTTTCAAGGAACCTGTTTCTAAACATAACAATGTGAAATAAAGCCTTTAGCAACACGCACTTAACTGGCACGAGGCACATGACGTCATATGTAAACAACACTGTCTAAAAGCTCTCGTATAGTAAGTATAGCAGTCATTAAATTTTAAACAACGAATGTTTAACAAAATTACTTCTGTTTCGAGCAACATTGTTTACAATTTGATCAACTGTTGTTTAAGATAGTGTACAACTGTAAGTGAACATCACTTTTTTAAACAGCGTTTTTACTGTGTGCTGGTCAGCTCTTAATGCAAGCGAGTTAATTAAAGGAACTAAGATGGCATTCCGCATCCTACAGTGGAATGCACAGGGATTAAAGGGACATGGGGATGAGTTATTGCTTTACTTAAACTCTATAAAAAGTGAAACCATTCATTTATTATGTATTCAGGAAACATGGTTCCGCGATCACGACAAAATACATATCGCTAATTACAAATGTTTTGCTAAAAGCAGGAAAACAAGGCGCGGTGGAGGATGTGCCATATATGTACACAACAGTTTAAATTATGATTACCCAATCATAGAAACTGACATCGAAATGCAACAGATTAATTTGTATTTTGACAACACATCCATAACCGTGATAAATTACTATAATCCATGTGAAGACATAATTATAAATAAACTAGATTTCTTGATAAAGGAAATAAAGAACAAACGTAGAATGTTAATATTGGGAGATTTTAACTCTCATAATGTTCAATGGGGCAGTAAAAATACAGATAAAAATGGAAAAGTGATTGAGGAATATTTACTGAAACACAATTTAGTCTTCCTAAATGATGGCTCGGGTACTCGCCTAAACCCAACTACTGGCGAAACCTCATGTTTAGATTTATCATTAGCAACTCCCGCTTTAGCCAGTTCCACTAGCTGGAAAGTGCTATCAAACAAATTCGGAAGTGACCATTTTCCAATATATATTGAAATCGACAAAAAAACTCCTAAATCAGATTGTACGAAAGATGACCTAACTCTAAAACGGTCATTCAAGAAGATAGATTGGCACGAATTCAATAAACTGTGCGATCAACGAATGGACACTGAGGCTCGCTGCTAGACGCAGATGTCAAAACTTTTTACGGAAACTTCATGGAATCTCTAAATAATATCTTAAATGAATTACACACTGTACCCTAAAGAAATAAAAACAAGAATGCGAGATTCAACCCCGTCCCATGGTGGACAGAAAAATGCAAAATAAAGATTAAGGAACGGAACGAATATAAAAATAGGTTATTGAGAGTATGGAATGATGAAAATCTAAAATTATACAAACAAAAGAAGGCCGAAGCCCAAAGGATTATTAGACAGACAAAACGAATGTTTTGGCTGGATTACACTTCAAAACTGAACAGGTTCACTTCAATCTCAGAACTATGGAATTTGATTCGTTGTCTGAAGGGTAATCCAAATAAAACTCATTTTAAGATATCAGCACTAAAAGTAGAATCTAAAGTAATTATAGATGATCAAGAAAAAGCTAACGAATTTGGAAAGCATTTTCTGAAGACCAGTAGTAAAACAAAAAAGGGAAATAAAGAACTGCTAGATGAATATAAATCTATTGATTATAAAGGAGAACATGATTCAGTTATCAATGAACCTTTTACTATGATGGAACTCGAAAAAGTACTTAATATAAAAAAGACATCAGCCCCTGTCGAAGATGGCTTGATATATACTGTGTTTCAAAACCTCCAACCAGGGCTAGGAAAACATTACTCTGTCTTTATAACAGAATATGGTCTTCTGGGACGATTCCTGAACAATGCAAACACGCTATGTTGATACCAATATTAAAACCAAATAAAGACTCCTCCCAACTAACATCCTACCGACCTATCTCATTATTACCTTGCTTTATCAAGATATTAGAAAGTATGGTAAAGGAGAGATTAGAATGGTTCATAGAGAAAAACGAAATTTTGAGTAGTATACAACATGGTTTTAGAAAAAAGAGAAGCTCAATAGATAACTTAGTACATTTAGAAAATGAAATTCAGAAATATCTATTTGTGGGTATGAAAACCATAGTCGTATTTATTGATCTGGCCAAAGCCTATGCTCTCTGGACGAAAGGATTAATCGTCAAGTTACGTAGAATTGGTCTCCAAGGAAACATATTGATTTTTTTGAGAAACTACTTGTTGAACCGTACCTTTCAAGTGCAAATAGGTAATGCCAAATCGGCAATTACGCATCCTGAAAACGGTTTACCCCAGGGTAGCATTTTGAGCTCCCTCCTTTTTAATATAATGATAAGTGACATACCTTTGAGACCAGATAATTATACATAGCTTGATTTATGCAGACGACATCGTAATTTGGGAATCAGGCCATGATGTAAAACAAAATATCCAGAACATACAACAATATCTAAACTCTTTGAACTCATGGCTCAATCCATTTGGACTTATTATGTCGGTAGAGAAAACGACCCCTATCTTATTTTTCGAACAATACAAATGATGATAATTACGAGTTATATATAAGAGGTCAAAAGTTGACACCACATAAAGAGCACAAGTATCTCGGCGT